TGATCCACATTTAGATGGTTTCGTTGTTTAAAAACATTATTCTCACTTGAGAATGTGACATAACTTAATGGGATTGACAAAAATCTACATGGCGGATGATATCGATAAGATCTAGGATGAATACCACGTCTTAATCTGAGGTTTGCTATATATATATTATTCATGTCTTGTCCTTTTTTAATTATTATTTTTTTCAGAATGTGAGTTAATGAAGTTAACAAGTCGGTATTTTATGGATTTTTCTGTCTATCTTAACAACTGAGAATGAAAAACAATTATATACAATGTATAACAATACTGTACCGATCATCCTTTCATTGAAAATTCTACTCTAGGTTCCAGTTCTTGTGAAGTCGATTGTGCTTTTATATGTTGGTAAACTTTTTCCATCGGATACTTATTAATGATTTTTTTATTATGAATGTACCTTGCGAATTGTTACTTTCTGTTATACTGTGATGCGAATTGAGTCGAAGCGAAGTGAGTCGAAGCGATTTGTGCAATTTTATTTTTTTTTATCTTAGTTTTTCATCCTATGTCTCAATGATTATGCAAAAGACACACAAATACTATCCTCAAAATTCAGTAAATTTCGTAATTTTCAGATATCAGGAAGTTTTAGAGTTACGTCACATGTGTATTGTCTTAACTATGCTGATACCATTCCATTTAAGCTTATACTCCTCTGTAGGCGAAATGAGGTTATGTTAAGATATATTATAGTATAGATGGCACACTCGGTAAACTGCTACCGATTTTTTTCATTTATATTACACTGGATGACATAATAAAAGCTGTTGCCGTAGATCTCTGTTGTAAACAATAAATATCTTACTGTTTAGTCCCAATATCAATCAGTTTTGAAAATACATCTGAAAGATAAAATGACAGCACTTAGCTTTGTCAGATGCAGGTATGACATCTTTCCTTCAGTTCTATGAAGTTAGATAAATTCCATGCTGCTTTTTATGATGTGCGTTAAAGTTATATTGTTATAAACATGGTGAATTTTGCGAAATACCTATTCTTTTTAATCATCTGTGTATTTGTTACGGTTGTCATTGAGAAATATTTGGTTGCTTTGTGCGATATGAAGCTGGATGTATTTTATTTTCGTGAGTTTGCCTGATGGTTCAGTTGGTGTTTAATTTGGGAACGTGACATAACATACTTGGATTGACCAAAGTTTACATGGCGGTTGTCGTCGATGAAGAAAAAGACGCTTACTTTTGCAAAACACCTGGTCATATTTTCCTCGTGCATATCAGGAATCTCTGCGTAAATCTTGATATTGTTCATATTTTACCCTGGTTTTAGTTAATGTGTGCATTGGTTATGATTATGTTTACATGTTGGTATTTTCTTGTTTTTGTGTTCTTTTTGTTTGTTTGTTTGTTTATTTTTTTGTTGTTTTGCCGGCCTTTGACCGATAACGGTTTTGAATAAAGATTTGCTTTATTTGTCGGTGTCTCTATGTTGAACGTCGTCCGAAACAAGGATCATGACCATGACAGACAATAACAAGGTCAAATTTCTGCACAATATCCCAGATTATGAACATTGAAAATCCCTGTTACATCTACCAACACATTGCATACAAATATAAAGATAAAATTATTGATAGCTCGGTCCTGGTTTCATGTTAATAGTTTTAATTACGTCTGTCTATTTTTAGCCTAGGTTTAGTACGCTTGACCACACACTTCATAAACTGCATATTACGACCCAACCTTATGATATTCAAAGTACATCAATAATCCATTCCATGTATTCACGCTCACTAATATCATTATAATTTTAGCAATTCTTCTCTACGTATTTTTTAAAATTAAATTATTTTGCGTCAGTGCTAAATTCTATTATACCTGTTGATGGTGAAATGTATCAATACTTGTAAGGAAAACAGAGAATGCTAGTCCTGTAAGCTTTCTGTGTAATGAACGTCAGCCGTGTGTTCAATACTGCTCGCGGCGGCGGTAATATTGGCGCTAAGCGCTTTCAACACCATCAGCACTCGCTATCTGGTAAACTTGAACGACTGCTAGTTATCACCCAATACCAACGACTATAAGTAGTGGTCACCGACACCAGACGGACTTAAACTGACCAGTGACTGTGTGTGGTCAGAACTGGCAACATCTCTGACTCGGTAGGTACAAATTTTCTAATTCTGCTAAGTATAGACTATTTTATTTTTAGTCATTGTATTTCAGATATCAGATTTATTTATAAATATTTTGCTTCGCTTGTTTGTTCATAAAAATAACAACAAAAATAATTCGATTTTTATTTAATTCTGAATGTTGTTTTTTTTTATCTGTGTTTCTCGACACAAAAATGTAGAAGGTTCGTAATCTATTGATTTTCGCCACAGGAAGGAAAATAATTACAACTCAATACATTTGCATTAGTTATATAAAGTTAAAGAAACAGTTTCGATACATGAAGTGTCAATAAAGATAAAGATATTCCGATAAAATATATGTTATTAGAAATAAACTATTGCGATAAATGTATTTGCTACTAGAGATAAACTGTTCCGATAAATTTATTTGCCATTAGAGATGAATTATTCCGATAGATGTATTTGCTATCAAAAATTAACTATTCCGATAAATGTATTTGCCATTAAAGATAAACTATTCCAATAAATGTATTTGTCATAAGAGATAAACTATTCCGATAAATGTATTTGTCATTAGAGATATACTATTCCGATAAATGTATTTGTCATTAGAGATAAACTATTCCGATAAATGTATTTGTCATTAAAGATAAACTATTCTGATAAATGTATTTGTCAAAAATTAACTATTCCGATAAATGTATTTGTCATTAAAGATAAACTATTCCGATAAAAGTATTTGTCATAAGAGATAAACTATTCCAATAAATGTATTTGTCATAAGAGATAAACTATTCCGATAAATGTATTTGTCATTAGAGATATACTATTCCGATAAATGTATTTGTCATTAGAGATAAACTATTCCGATAAATGTTTTTGTCATTAGAGATAAACTATTCCGATAAATGTATTTGTCATAAGAGATAAACTATTCCGATAAATGTATTTGACATTAGAGATAAACGATTCCGATAAACGTATTTGACATTAGAGATAAACGATTCCGATAAATGTATTTGTCATTAGAGACAAACGATTCCGATAAATGTATTTGTCATAAGAGATGAACTATTCCGATAAATGTATTTGTCATTAGAGATATACTATTCCAATAAATGTATTTGTCATAAGAGATGAACTATTCCGATAAATATATTTGTCATTAGAGATTGTCATAAATGTATTTGCCATTAAAGATAAACTATTCCGATAAATGTAATGATAAACTATTCCGATAAATGTATTTGACAGAGATAAATGATTCCGATAAATGTATTGCTATTACACATAGACTATTACGATGGGTTTTATACAATCAACAAAAAATATTCTGGTAAACGAATTTTAATAGTGGCAAACTATGCAATAAATTTGTTCTTAGTATTGATCAATTATGTCATATTTATCTTAATATATTGTCAATAAAGACAGATAAAGTGATAAAATATTATTTGGATTACAACATTCCGATAAAAGCATTGTCAGTGAAGATGATGGTTTAGATAAACGTTATTGTAAAAAATCATACGAACGTATTTTCTGTAAAAGTATAGTTCGCTTAAAACTATTTCTCGACTTGTTTCGAAAAGCTCGAAACCTGTAGGATGTAAAAAGATATATAAGATATTTATGGTAATGTATTTGAAACAAGTTATTTATATTATGAAGATATTTCCAGTATAATTTATATCGGTTTGTTAAACTGACAACCATTACAATGTCCGCTATAGTATAAACAGAAATACATTCTGTGTCGATCACATGTTTGATTTCATAGCATCGTTAACTTAAAAAAAACATTTTGATGATTGAGAATAAAGGTCGATAACACGATACATTTCTAATCATCTGATAAGTGTAATGTTATTACATATCAGATAGACTCTGAATTAAAGCAATAAAAAACACAATCATCCGACTCTCGAGAGCTCTTATCTTATCGTGGAGTGAGGTTAACCAACATCATCGCATGAACCAGCAGTATCATATTTTATCTGAAAACTTAATTTGGCTATACAATTGGTTGGTCAAGGCGCTGCGATTTTCGTTAATTTTAATTCTCGATGTTAATCGTTTTAAGTGTGAATAATTATTTGTAGCTTATCCATTAAGAATAAATCTATGCTTTATTTTTTAATTTTTTTTTCCTGCTACTGATAATTAGTTCAGATATTTCGGCTGTTTCCATTTTTGTAAAAACACTAGGTGTTATTGATATGCAAATATTAAGGATTTCAAGGTTACGTCATTTTTATGATAAATGCATACATCTTTCTTAATATTTCGGAGCATATTCACTTTTTCTTTTCGTCGGAAACAAGAAATAAATGTCATTTTAGACTTTTTTTCCGTGCTGCTAAAATGAGAAGCGATATACCTTCAGTAGCGCGCGGAGCACTCGTTCAATCCATTTCCCTTATTTTTGAGCTTGGTAGGATTTCAGAAGGTGTTAACACTCTGTGGATATCAATTTTCCTCAAACGAGCTTGATAAGAATACTTTTACTACAATTCAATTCATTCATGTTTATGTTTAGCAAAGCCTGTTAATAAATCTGACAGGAAGCAGTACATGTTGTTGCTATTTTACAGATTCCGATATCAGGAATTTCGGATTCCACAAATTTAATGACCATATTTGGATCAACTTCCGCTGACGCTATCCACTAGTCACGCATACCCAAGCGAGGATAGTTTAATCAGTACGTCACAAATATTAAAAAAACACATCGACTATAAAACAGATTAGAGTGTGAAAAATTCTCCACTTTTCTCACGTCTTCGCCACTCTCGACATCGCTACAGAAGATACACTGCCTTTTTATATCTACAAACTATAACCATCACAGCAATTATTGTACAAGGTTCTCAGCATGTCTTCGATATCTTTGTTGGTCCTGCTCTGGTTGCCCTGTATAGCAGGTAAGTCAAATTTCATTCGTTAAGATACATAATTCATAACCAAAAATAAATATTTAAAGATTTAATGGAAGTAGTTACTAAATCATGCCTCGTATTACCATTGTTTTTAAGTACTAATTTTTCTTCTATAATTCTTGTTGAATAAGAATTTTCTGAGATAATCTTTGAACCAACTTGTTTATTGATTTCAAAATATTTTTTAGCCAAATTCGGTATCTTAGCATCAGTAATGCATTTTTTTAGAAAAAAAAACATACATCTCAACTAACGTAATTGATTTGTCAACACAATAATGAGAAATGCCCTATGGGTTTTTTGGACATCAATTCGTCCATTCATTATATTTTTTAATTTGTCAAATCCATTTCGCTCCTGAACTGATGCCTTGCTTTGGTCTGTGTTGAAGTAATTGATGTTTTGTACGAAACGGTAACCGGATGAAGAAATAATCAGATTAATTTCTTGACTGTGATCGATATCGATTATGTGATATCAGTGACGTCAGTTCCGCTATGATTAGTTTAATAAAAGTCCAAATCGATTTTTCCTTTGGTTACGGAGACCAAGACAGACTTTAATGGCAATTTTTCATATTCTGAAAAGCCTCATCTTTTTTTTTTCTTGAAATAAAACACTCTGGATCTGTTACATGTTTTATCTTCAACGAATTAAATTGCTTTCAGGTTAAAGTTACGCATAGAAAGTGTTCTATCTCTAACTTCAGCTATCATTCGGTGCGAGATTCTGCAATACAAAATTTTGGTTTTAATTCTGTGACGAGCGAGAAAAACAGAATTTGAAATTTTAAGAATTTATGAGTGTAAATATAAATAATAACTGACTTCGAAAATTGTAATAAAATCGGCAACTACACACATGAGATTTGAAACAAGATTAAAGCATTGACAGAGATTGTAATAAAAAAGTAATGAGAATAGTGATATGTGTGAATCCTGGAGCCCAATTCCAGATATTTGCTGAAATTATGTAACATAAACACCAATATTAAAACATGAATGTTTCTTATAGTCTCTTTGATTAAAAATACCAATTTCCTAAGAATCAGTACGAGAATTGAAAAAAATAAGTTTAATTTCGTAAGAAATAGGCTTGAACATAAAGTGCATACGACTTTAATTTAGACAAGAAAGAAAACCTGAAGGGAGATATAAGGATCAACGATATTCTACAGTTCTGTATTAGGACTTGCCAATATGACATGTAAATCTTATAATTGTTTATATATTTTGTCTTCATTTCATCGATATAACGGTTTCGTTAGTAATACTATTGGATAATTTTTAAATGTATATTGCAACAGAGTTAATGTCTGAAGATCGCTGTGCTGAAGGACTGAAAGGTCATAATTGTGGGCGTAAAACCCCTTAAATCAATACACATAGAATAAAGAATATTTTTAATGTAGAATGTCACTCCATCAAAGTTATCATAAGTCTAACAATTTAAAAGACTCAGTGCAATAACATTTTAAATAAAAAAAGTCACTAAATTGATACTAAAGTCACGATAAATATGATGTTTAAAGGATACACGACGCTCACCCTTCCGGGACTTCTTATTTTATTTCCATTGAACCTTTTTGTGAGTCTACATGTGAATCTTATCATTGTTCATATTTTATCTTCGTTTCATCGATATTAATTTTGAATTACGGTTTCTTTAATAAATCTATTAACATGCTGTTTTTGTTGCTTTGTTTTATTACTATTGTTTGCAATTTTTTTTATTTGGATGCTTTTCAATGTCAGTTCCTGCTTTTTGTAGTCATACAAACAGGGTATTTGCCTCTTTATTTCAAAATTTTTAAATTTTTGATTAATTCTTAGAAAGAATTATTTTTAAATATTTAACAAACCCTCATAATCAGGGTTAGTCTTACTCCACAATGAATTTCTTTCATTTCATATACAAACATTTAATGTGCTATTGAATATCAAGAAAATCGATAGGTTGCTTGTAAACATTATATTTCGTAACAAATCGTGGCCATGGCACACGAATGTACAATTATGGAAAAAGAATCAACGTATATAACAGTAAATATAGATATATCGTCACTCCTCCATCCACGTAACTGAATTAAACATTCATATATACAAGTATTAACAGACCAGAATAATCATTGCCCACATTCACACGAGGAATATATATATATTTGTTTTCCTATGCCACTGGCTAGAAATTGTGTGACGTCTTTCTCAGCACATTCAAACCTCTGGTCACTTATCTGATATTATGATATAGAAGATTAATAAAGATAAGTGTCAGGTTTATGATGACATCAATGTAACGATTGGTATTAGTATTATCAATGTCCACTTACACTTGCCAACATCTTCTGTCTTCAGTTAATCTATCATACGAATGGAAAATTCATTTAAATCATACTGTGGTCGATTGTTTTACTCGTTGTTAAAACCGTGGTAATTTTTCAAGAATATGGTTGACCGATAATACATTGCGCTATACAGATGTTACACCATACAGAGTGACTGATTGTTGAACTGATACAAAAAATCAATTATGGTTTAATCTATACAAGACCTATTCCGTGGTGAATACAGAATTCTAAGACTGACCATACTTTCAAATGATCACATAAGCAGCTGTGAGATTCCATAGGGAATGATCGTCAGCCTTTAATGGGTTCACGTAATTGCTCTGATGGCGTGCAATATGTGACGTACACCAGGTCACCAAGGACCGATGTGTCCTTGACCAACGGTGGACATGTAATACAACGTTTAATAACAGTACCACATTCGTCATCGAGAAATGATTGTCTGTGCTCTTTCGAGTCGTCTGTCGAGACAGGTTTAATAATGAATATGATATTACCCTTTCAACGCCAGCCATTTATTGGCTTCTTTTTATCCTTCGTTTGGTTTCCTGTAACACGGGTGACAAAAATCTTATTTCAGTCTGATGCAGGGAAATGGCATATACTGTTTCAGGGCCTTTCTAAAGCTGCTTTCTGATCAATTTTAGGTTGTAAATGGTGTACTGTTTCAAGGCCTTTCTAAAACTGCTTTATGATAAATTTTATATTGTATATAGTGTATTTTTAAATGACTTCTGACTTGATATATATATTACATTCCTATGTACCGTATATTTCGTGTCTTTTATATTCTAGTATGTTTGAATACTAATTTTTACAGTCCAAATGATGGAACTTATTTGAAATGTCTTGATATGAAACTTTGGCAATGTCGTTATCTAATTAAATTTTCCCTGAATCAATCTTCACATAGAGTAATTTGAGGCAGGTCAACAATGTGTCATATACAACGTATGCATGATAGCTCCACATAAAATTGATTAGCTTTCTTCTTTCTCTGTACACACACAAATCGTAATGTTGTTCTACAGAAATTGAAGGCAACAGAACGGTTACGCCTACACAGTAACAATTATCACTGACAAAATAACTTATTGTAAAATTTTATGAAAACGCGAATTAGATTATTTAGAAAGGTAAAAAAGGTGTAGAATTCACTATGACTATTTCCAGTCAACAAGTCAAGGTATCGGAGACAAACATCAGTATTCAAAAAATAATTTTCTGTCTCGTATTGCATAAAGATATCTTGTGACAAATATCAAAAGATTTTCAGAAACAATATTAAAATGAGGGATCTAAAATATTCTTTATCTAAGAATGATTCAAATATAAATGGAAGAGTGAATTGAATGGAAAATTGCGTATAATACAGAAGTTCATTACATATTCATAAAATTTTCGTACCAACTGCCAACTTGTCCTTCCGCCTTTACGAATATATGTTGCTTGCACCGACTCTGTACTTGGGATCGCCGTAATCAGAGTTTGAAACAACGTCACCATCAGTTGTCAGTTGCTGGTAAAAGAAAATCGTGATAAAGAGTTAGCGAAATATGTACAGATATTCATTCATATTTGTGATTATACCATCGTGTTGTTGAATCTAGTTTCTTAAAATAGTGGTGAGGCTAACTTCCTGTTATGACACCGGCCATGATGGATGGGTATTTTCCAATTACTGAGGTAAACCAATACGTCCATCCTCAGTCGTGCCTAAAAATAACAATGATATGAACAGTTCAATCTATTTCTGGTAGTTAAATAGAAAAGCGTGCATTCATAAGTATGTAAATTACGTTGGAAAAGATTTTCCATCTTAAAATCCAGGTATCCCAGATCGGACGAAAACGTAGCCGTGATAGTGGAATTTTTTCAGAGAAAAATATTAAAACACACATGCATGCATCAAAATTAGGTACATAGGCAATCTTAACGGTTTAAGATTACAGTATAAAATAAAAACTAATTTGTTTTAATGACTTTGTTTGGTGTCTTATTTATTTCAGTCCTTTGTCTTATTTAATTAGATATATCAATCTCTTGAACATTTGTAACCTTAATCGAATCAACCTGTTACGACATGTACAATATTAATACATTAATACCGTTTACGACATGTAAAATACATTAATACCGTTTACGACATGTAAAATACATTAATACCGTTTACGACATGTAAAATACATTAATACCGTTTACGACATGTAAAATACATTAATACCGTTAACGACATGTAAAATACATTAATATCGTTTACGACATGTAAAATACATTAATATCGTTAACGAAATGATAAATCTAAAAATAAGTGATATGCTTTCGTCATTGTCTAAGTGAACAAATTCAGTTTGATTCAACAAAAATGCTGACTATAACACTTTGATAAATTGACCTTGAAACATCTGAAAAGTTCACGGTGGATAGAAAATTCCGATACCTGTTGGAAAAGTCATTGATCTAAGGGTTGGCTAACTCGGCCTCTCACGGATTTTTATGAATGGAATTCCTCAACCATAGTTCATTAAGTAGTAATTTGTAGGCGGTATGTTGTTGATAAGTTTAGAAAACAGATAGGTACCATTCCGCGATACCATAACTTGCATGCTTATCTTTACAATTTAATAAAATCAGATTCCGGAAGTTATGTTACCATTCAAATAACACCAAACGAACCATCAGAACTGCTGTTAATGAACATTTTTTACGAAGTTTACTGAAAATAATAAAAGTCTTTTTTTGTCTTTATTCTTCGATATCAAATAGACATTAGATTAATAAGGTGACCATGCTCGGTGGATTTAGTTCTGGCAGGATTTCGTTTCCCAGCATGTGGTGAACACTACGGAAGCATACTAGAAAAACAAGTGGTAGACCTGATACAGGCAGATAACAGTCAGGAGGGGGCCACCGTAAATAGCTAAAACATTTATTTTTAGTAGACCGCATCGAATCATTGATCGTTAAATGAGTATTTCCATCCGACCTGAATCAAATTTATCAGAAATATTACGAATATTTACAAATGCGAAACATTACTTGATATGTCATACGATTTAATGGGATTTCTGTATCCACGTATTATGTTGCTATGTTTCTTAGTTTTATCGTGTCTGGATAACAAATTTGGTTGGAATGTCGAAAGGTCACTGCAATTATGTACTGTTATCACCTCAAATTATTTATGTATGTATAATAGATGTTTGATCATCTCTGAAGACGGAAAGGAACAAATCATTTAACAAAACGGTGCGTCTTCATGTGAGTTAAGCAAGGTTATTCTGTAACCTCCGTTTGTAATTCAGGAATATATCTCACAGCTAACATAATTTTCATTCAGATACGAATCAAGACGGCAGGAATCTTACTTATGTAGACGGTATCACCAGCGCTGGTGATTTAACAGGCGAAGCATTCATTCTGAAACAAATTTATCAGGCGACAATCAAAACCATGTAAATTCTTTCTTAATTCCTCAGAGTGGATCCAATCAATTTGATTAAGTCTGCGAGAAATGCAGGCTCTTAACTGGTTCACGCGCATACACATTCCCCGTCGACATGAACTGTTAATTACTAATTAACGGTAATTGGGCAACGCTAAATTCCAACAGATTTTAGAATTGGATATTTTTTTATAAAGTTTACGTATACAGCATGGCGCCAGAATTTCTATTTTAAACATAAATGGTAGGTTTAACATAAGACGCTTTGCCTTCGAAGTAAAACTATTCTTTGGTTACACTTCTGAACTTTTCGCACTTTTAAGATAAAGAAAGGTTATATTACCTCTCAGAACTTTAGATACAATATTTTCGTAGTAAGGTTAACAGGTGCGAATTATATTTGAAAGGTTATTATCAAAATACTACACGAATGCAAAATCTTAAGTCTAGTTTTATTTTTGGCACGGTAATTGTCTTAAGATAATTGTACAGGCTTTTGATAAGTATCTATACAGAAAAAAAAATCAGAAAAAAATCGGGGTAACTTGAGGGAATGCTGATGCAGAAGGATTAGAATATCAATAAAAATATCTAGCTTTTTATATCACTCTTATCTTCACAATTTGAAAAAAAATCAAGAATGCATTTTCTTCAGTAATTGCTGGTTGTGAATTTGTCTTCAGTGTTTACATCAACAAACATTCATTGATAGTTCAGAGCGTACATTTTCTCTCCTATCCATTGTCCGTTTCGGATTGATGTTTTATGACTATCGAATTCTGAATTTGTATCAAAATGTGCCATTCTTTCTGGGGGGGGGTTTCTCTTACAATGTTTGAGATTTTAAGTGTTAAACACTGCTGGTTGAATTTATGCTCACGAGGTTTGTAATAATCTACGTTTTTATTACTTTGGATAGTGACGCCCGTCACACTTGGCAGCCTGTCTTTGAAGTTTGAAGTGTTTGAAATCATCAGATATACGAAAAGTACAAAAATTGAATTATGGGGATATCGAACGTCCCCCATTTGGATTTTCGAAGTTTTATTTTTTTCTGGCCTCACCTAAGTGTAAAAAAATGGTCCTTACCATCACGAATTTAGGAGGATCAATTTAATTCATTATATAGTGTTACTGTAATTAATTCTAAATTTGTATTAAAATGTGCCATTCACTTGTTGGTGTTTTAGTAAAATCTTAATTCTCTTTATTCGTGTGAGTTTGTTGAATGTTTACATATCAACATTATTAACATAAAACATAACAATTTTTGACGCATATCGATCATAAAGATTCATGAAGAGCGAAGAAATATAACAGTCGTAAAATATTTTCTTGTGTTGTATGATATGACGATTGACATTTCAACCTTGTTTTCTCACTGTTGGAATTATATTTGCTAATAGATAATTTGTTATGTGTTCGTACAGTTATACTCCAAGAATGAAAATTTTATCCAGACTTAAAGTGTAAAACACTTGTTTAGAATAACTCTTTATATATAAACAATGGCTGCATTCCTAATAGCTTTGTTTACTGGACAAGCATATTGGAAAATATTTGTTATTGTTGTTGGTCGTCGTCGTCGTTGTGGATGTTGTTAATTCTAAAAAAACATATTTTTATCTACTTAGCTAATGCCGTAGACTTCCCGTTGGAGCTTTGCCCCTACCTGCCTGGTGAATGTCGGGAGGAATGTGCCTTTAAGTTTGTCCACAAATGGGGTATTCCTCTCTGTGCCGCTGAAGGCTACCATTGCTGTGCCCCGGACTATTTAGGTAAGTTCCTTAAGATCAGCTCAACGTTAAAAGAAAAAATCTCACTGAATGAAATAAAAAAAATCACTAACAATACCTAACCTTGTTCTCTTTTGAGAACGTGACATTACTTGCTTGGATTGACCAAAGTTTACATAGCGGGTGTCTTCGATGAAGAAGAAAACGCTTACTCTTTCAGAAAGCCTGGTCTTATTTACCTTGTACTTGTTCATGGGTCTCAATGTTAACCTTTCTTTTGTTCATATTTTGCTCTTGTTTTATGGAATTTGAGCTTGGATTATGATTATGTTGACATGTTGGTATTTTCTTGATGTTTACTAATACCGAACAAAAAGGTAGCACGTTGGTCGCTTGGCTACATCTTACGGAAACAATGCAAACCACTAAAATATTCAGAGGCCAGGGGTTAATGATTTGTTCCTCGAGAAGCGATAGCCAAGGTTCAAAAGTGTCTGTATTATTGGGAAATGAGTACAATTCCGGATTATTTCATTGCATTTAAAAGGATTTATGCTTTCTTTGAACTGAGAATTAATTCAACAAATATGCAAAAAGACGTTGATTTTTCCATTAGATTTAAATAAACCCGATTCCAATAGGCATTCGTCATAAACATTTTTTTTTTTGTTACAATGTTCTACCGAAAGATGGACAGATGAGAAGGGAACACTGTTGTCACTAACATATCACCATGAAATGTGTTGCTTTTTATGGTTTCATATAGAAACCTCGTGACAAATTCCGTTAAAACGAAGACCCCCTCTGACACGAGGCTGTCTAATTTCCTTACCGGAAATCTATATCAGTATTTGAGGATATACATTAATACGTCTAGTGATTCATAACAAAACAAATTATCGTCCAGAAACTAGGACACCTTCCATCTTAATTAAAACTCTCAAATAAGAAAAAACCAATGTATGATCGATCGATTTTATTGATTTTTATTTGGGGAAACATCTTATTCTCCGTGTAAATGAGATATAATTATCGTTGATTTAAACGTGAATGTTTCTGTATGTTTTCTTCCACTTTGATGATCAGTATTAACGATATTCTTATATGACAAATGACTGATTTTAAAAACGCCTATCACAGCATTTTGACAAAGTGATATTTGCGATAATGAAAATGTGTTTATCTTTCCTATCCTAGATGTTTCAGATCAATTAATGTTTATTGACTTATTACACGCGTTCTTACAACCTAGAAGCCTTGATGTGGTAAATCAGTCATGATGATCTAACGCCTTGCTGATACAAACCAGGGTTCTTCCTAACAAGACACTTAATTTTGGATGTTGTAAATGGTGAAACTTTACACCTAGAAAATCATGACATTTGTCAGATTCCATCGTTCAACATCAGTTTACTGTGTTCTGTTCTCGTCAGGATAACCGCTACAGTTTCTCTGTAATAGATTGTCGATGTTAGCGTCAATTCTTTCTAGATTTTTACTACTCAAAACATGTTTCCCTATATACCACGTTATAACTCGTTCGACGTGGTACGAAAATTATCAAATATATGAAAATTATGAAATTTGTTGAATTACGGGGCTAATACACATTTGAACATTCATTCGATCATCTAGGCTTTAAACTTTAGGACCTTGGCATCACTGATGAGTCGTAGAAGGACCAAAGAGGGCATTCATAGTGATCGTTCGGACTTTCCAAATTTGTAATGATGGGACGGTGAATGGCCGGCTTGCTGCATATTATAGTCCAATCTCATGACGCAAATTGAATTGTAAGATCTTAAGATCTTTCTATTAGTACTTCACTGGCTAATAACTTCCTTAAGGTGACTTTCCCAAGGTTCTATTTTTGTCTGTGTAATGTTACCCAGGTCTCGTTATATGGGTCGGGATTTCAACGAGATACATCTTGTGTGTGACGTCAGAGTGACAGATTAACAATATAGGTGTGTCGGTAACAAAACCAATCATGTGATTTTTTTTATATATTTACAGTAAAACAAATGGAAGAATTGAAGAAAACCACTACGGAAGCATTACCGTCTACAACACCTTCTACCACAACTACTACCACAACTACCACAACACCAGCTCCAACCACCACACCCACAACCACCTTAAGACCAAGCACGACCACCATCACAATGGCGGACGTTGTGATCACTTCAACAGCAACTCCAGAACAGGCATTACCGGACCTTCCACAAGGCAATCAACCATTCATCCCGCAGCTTCCCCTAGAGGAAGAACGTCCGGACCAAGAGATGCCCTTTCAGAATCAAGAACTTCCCTTGGGTGATCAGCCACAAGAGCCGGCTTATGACCTCCCAAATACTATCAACACAGGTTAGCATGTTTTATATATCGCTTTGCATGCATATACTCTGTGTATATCTGAGTACTAAAGTATCATTTTTTTCTTGTGTTGATATTTTATATGAATACAGTTTTTAAAAAATTAAATAGACTAAACCAATGTTTTGTTTGACAGGGTCAGATTGTGGACAACCATTTTTCAATCAACGAGTGAAGAGGATTATAGGTGGTAGTGTAACAAAGCGAGGAGCTTGGCCTTGGCAAGTTGCCTTCCGGTATATGAGTGGTGCTTATCTCTGTGGTGGAGCCCTTATCAACGACCGCTGGGTAGTAACTGCGGCTCATTGTTTTAAACGGTAAGGCTACAAATCTAAACATTTCTCGGATTTACATATATCACAAATGTTTATTTTATATGTCATATGAACAGAATAACTTTCGTTCACATAAATTGTTTACAGTCGTTTTTATTTTATTTTGAACTTATTTTCAATAAGATAACACGATGAATTATCTATAAACAGGCAGTTTAACACAGCAGCCCATTGGAGAGTCAGTGTTGGGATCCATGATATTGCCGGAAAAGATCTTCACAGAAAGGATATAGCAATCAAACGAATTATCAAGGTAAATAGTCATTCTTTGTGTGTGTTTCTCTTACTTGCTTTACACATTCGGATTGTCTCCTTGTTGAACATAATCCGATAGTACCCTACCGGTAAAGACCTGCTCTCCGCCCGCCATGATAACTAGTCAGAGAACTCCACAGACCAAGACTATACAACAGCCCCTTTATATTGAATAAGAACTATTCCTGGACTCTCTCTCTCTCTCTCTCTCTCTCTCAGTATATCTACAGACTTCATTTATCATAAATTACCCCATTATTCTATAAAAAAAAGTTTCATACTTCCGACATTCACACTGTATTTATGGTATGAGCATGATAACAATACCGATGCAAAAAGTCAGTAATTGCAAGTAGCAAGATCATACTTACCACCTCATTTGCGACGTGCTTCAGTCGCTTTTGCTCCGTTTTATACTTTACATTCTATCGCCTCAGGGGAAAAAATCTTCCCTTTTCGGAACATAGGGTTCTATTTCTAGAATTTTAAAATTCCTTTTCGCTGCATTTGTTCACAGTGTTATTTATGTACTTCCAGCATCCATTCTACCGAAAGGATTCTGAAGGTATGGCGTTAAACAAAACACTTCCTTCCCATCACCACTATCGACATGATATCGCCTTGGTTGAGCTGGCAGAAGCAGTTGATATGAACTCGCCTTATACTCGGCCGATATGTCTTCCGACTCACGGGAATCCTCGTTTTCCTCCTACTAATGAAATCAACAAACGGCTGGAGGAGGAGTTAGTAAGGGAAACAGAAGACGAGTTGTTGAGGGAAGAAGCTGTAAGGGAGGCTTTACCGGAGTTCACCCAATATATGTGGAGGAACCGAAGGGACGCTGATTTGGAAAATGTTGATGCAGATAATCATATAAGTCTTTATGACGTAGAGCGCTTTGGAGAGTGCTACATCACAGGATGGGGAGACACGAAGGGTACGTAATGACATTATGTTTTTAAAAGTTTAAAAATGGAAAATGTTAATTTTTCACTTCTGCACTTTACTGTATTATTACAAACATAGGAAAAGGCAATACATTTATTTAATTGTAAACGGTTTAGCAATTGCAAACTATTTAGTAATATTCCTTACCGTATCCCGAATATTAAGTGATTGATAAAAGTTAGAAAAATGAATAAAATGATTGACTCTTTTTATGATCTATACAATAGGTTGAAGAAGTTTCTTGTATATAAACACCTACATTACAGGTACTGGGGAGGTGACAAAGTTGCAACAGGTCCGCGGTCACGTCAGCAGTGCTGATGAGTGCAGTAAATATTGGAAACGAGAGATTGATGATGATATGATCTGCTTCGGAGATGGAACAAAAGGACCATGTTTGGTAAGAATTTCACAGAAAGTGACTTCAGATAGCATCCTATCAGTTGACTTTTTTAAGGAGTTCATGACACGTTAATTATTCTTTCTGTCTACGGTCTTCTGGTTCCATTGTTAAAGTTGTAAGGTCACTACATTAATTTTGTTGATGTTACATCTTTGTATAAGGATAGCATACCATATTTTGATCAGACTCAGGCCTTCGTGTGTTAAACTTCAGTTTTGTTGTCGTCATTAAAGAAGCTTTACTTAGGTTCTGATAATCGGGTTGTTTTGTGCTGTAATGTTGTCCCAGTTTAATTGACGCAAAGAGTTTTCATCTGTTATGAACAACGTCATTTTCCTTTGTTACTGAAATTTTCTGTAAAAAAAAAAAAAAAAAAAAAGTTTAGCTTACTCTCCCTGTACTTTTTCAGGAGTTTCTGTGTAAATATTGCTTTTGTTCATATTTTGTCCTAGTTTTATTGCATTTGAGTTTGGATTTTGCTTATGTTGACATATCGGTATTTTAGCCATGTGACATGCACTGTTTGGAAACCTTAGAATTACCATTGAGGGTTCGTTAATATGAGAAGTTGTAGATAAGAATTTGTTCATACATGTAGATTACTCCATACTTCCGAGATTCCATTGTAATTAGTCTCTTTTGTCTTTATTTTCAGGGCGATTCTGGTAGTCCAATGTCGTGCAAATACAAGGGTCGCTTCTACGTGGTTGGCGTGGTGTCCTGGGGGTCAGATGACTGTAACCGGAAGGGATATCCTAGTGTTCTCACTCGAATGACATCTTACCACGATTGGATAAGGGAGATTATCTCGGAAGGTTGAGACGAAATGAAAACTTTATCAGACCACAAACATCTGGGGCCAGCTGTTCTCCAGGAAATTTTGACCTTTCACTTAAGACAAAAGTAAACAATATTACTTGCAACACATTATTGAATTTATTATCAGTATAGTAGAAAAATTGAGACAGTTCGTGTCAATACATTCCATTGTATACCAAGTTCACAGCTCACAGTTATATCAATTTTGCTTTAAACAGGGTAAAGTTGAATATCGATATGATACATTTCTTTCTTCTAATTGCAAAATCTGTACTTTTCAAGTGGAATTTGAAAAAAAAATCTATTTCGATTAAATTCAGTATTTAATTTGGAGCCATACATGCAGGAAAACCTACGTAAACATTCTATTTGATTGTTTTGTTGTTGAAATTGAATTAAAAAATGAAGTTTTACTTTTGTTTGTGTGTTATATAAATCTGAAAAAGTATGTTTGATAACATGAATCTCGTCTATGACAAATAAATCCATGGTTTTTTTTTTCACATTGCGATAAACTGTTATGTTGATCATCGCAAATAACATGTCATGCAAAGTTAGATGTCAGAACGGTCAAAGGATGTAAAGCTGATTGTTTAATATCTAAAAAGAGGGGATGATGACAAAATTAAATAGCAGAAGAAGGCTTACAAAAACAATAAATATCGGCATGCTTTAAACTTCATTCGACCACAAAATGGAGAATTTATGAACAACGAAGTAAACAAATCTGAGACAAGAACTGCCAAAGTTACAAAGTTAAATATATGAAACAAACACAAAAACATGTAAAATTGATACAACAGAAACGACATATAGAAAGTTGAATAACAGACACATCAGTGAATGTAAAGTTAAATTGCAGAAACAATAGAGTAAGCAAAGAATGATTATCCGACTCAAGAAGGAGCATTTGAATACCAAAGCCACAAAGAAAACAAGAGGTCAAATATTTGCACAATCAAAGTATATAAAAATCTATATCCAAACCTTTAAAGGATATGGCGTTGAATATCAGGACACAAGAGACCAAGAAAAACACAGCCACCACAAATAAAAACTGAAAATGATAAAAAGTTGAATGTCAGATACAGAGTCTATATACAGCGTCATCGATATCAATACCAATGATAAACGGTTGGCCATGACGTAAAAAGTAAGAAATGTGATTTAAAAGAAATCAAGTAGAAAGTAAAAGAACAACTTCCCAAGCTACAATATTGAACAAATCAAACAACATAAAAGTATTCAATAGTAAAACTGAATACCAGCAGGAAATACCTTTGCCGTATATTTTAGAAAATAGTCTATCAAACCGTAAAATAACTAATCAAATACCATGTCTAATATCAAAATATATATGCAAAGAAACACCCCCATCCCTATGCACCCAAGGGACACATCCATCGTTCATACATAATTAGGTAGTGCTTCCCTAAGGATGCTTCAGACCAAATTTGCACTTAATAACTGAATATCAGTAAATGCTTAGAATTATCGAATCAGATATAAGAAAATACCTACAATGTTCTAATTCAATATCATTAAAAGCACGATAAAGTCTAAATTAATAATGATAAATGCCTCCAAATGAAAAAAAAATCCCATTTTTATGAAAAACTGATATATCATAGTTCATCCAACATGGAATTATGTGTTGGTGTCGTGATATTTTCATTTGACACTACAACGTTCATCTTTAAAGCTTTCGTCAGTCAACAGAATTTGACACCAGGAGAATAATCCGATTTTTCGTCGATAAGACTTATGCAGTGTGTTTTTCCTACAGCATATATAATCTTAATCCATTGGGAGGTATTTGTCTACATGTGAATTTGTTTAGATACATATATGATACAACATAGAGTTCAGCACACATCAACAGACCTTTTACTTACCTTAAGACATATCTTTAAAGAAAAATGTTATCTTCAATGGACATAAATACCCTCCTAAACCTAAAATCATTAATTAGTTTGCAAATATGAATCGAATACCAGTTATTGTCCACCAACGTTGAATCCATTATAAACAAATCATATGACAGTGGAAGACAACCAGATATGAACAAGTAAATAAATAAATAAAAATCACCAAACTCGACAAAGATGTTGTCAATCAGAAACTCGACTATTTCTTATGATTTCTTCCTCCGTATATTTCTTCTTTGATGTGAACGTTTTTTGTCACGAAAAACTCTTCAGTATGGTTTACTGACAGATACATTTTTACTGTACCGCCGTTCACCTTTCTTTGAAAAGAAAGTTCTCATAACAAGAGAACGAAGGCGTTCTTTCAGTCTAGAATGGGGTTTGGTGGTTTACTGAGTGAAAATAAAAAATTGGCATAAAAGAAATTTTTCAGAGAGGGCGTTGAAGAGTGGTCAAAACAGCTCTTTGGAAGTCCGCACAATATTCACTGCACTTCTTCAGTAAACAGTCTCACAATAAGACTGTAGCCCAGATTAAATTAAATACGAATCCTAGATAGTAATTTTGACATAAATTTTGATGAACAGCTAGACAAGCCAACAATAAAACATTGTGTATATGGTTCCTTGTGAAGTTTATGAATCCAATATAAACGGGGTGAGGTTTGCATCCTTATCATTAACAGGCAATCTAAATGATTCTAGTGCTGAAACATGATTAGGTAGAAAAAAAACTTACCTGCCACTTTGCTAACAACGGACGGGGTTTCAAGATATTAAGGACCCTTCATGAAGATTTCTTGCAAGGTAACATTTTGAATAATGCTTAAATCACCAGTTACTATGTGCCCAGTTGGACAATAGTTATATGTAGATGTAGAACAAGGACAAGCTCACAGGGGACTACTCCGAAGGTCGTCTACATTCAGTTGTTGCAGCGTTTTGTGTGTGTGTGTGTGTGTGTTTCTTGAAGCAAAGATTAAATACAATATGCTTGGAGTCACTGTAGAAATTACAGAAATATATCTGCTTTGAAAGTGTAGTGGAATGGTAAAGAAATATGAAAATAGATTTCAATATAGAAAAAACAGTTCTGTCGGGTACCAGTAACTGCCTATAAGATATGAGCTGATAACAAGTAACATGATTAATTTGAAGGATGGAACATCTTCAGCGTATAAACTAAGTGTTCATCCATGTAGTGTTTTGTAAAGCAAGCAGCTGATTGTGTTCTGATGCCAATGTATGTTTACGTAAACTTCAGATGACCTTGAGACATTACATAATTCACACCTTATAACATTAGTACATGGAATCAGGGAATTACGAGTTGTGCCGTAATAATGTCATTTGATACTAATAATAAAATTACATATTATGATATTATGAAATTTGTATTCAAAGCAAGGGGTCGTTGAATGGAAGATTGCATCAGGTGAATAGTTCAATTCGTCTCTGATTATGGTTTAGCTTTGTCCAATACCAAACTCCCCATAGCCTGCATTTACATAATTTTTAAATTAAGTAAATGCTTAAAACAGCAGGCACAAAGGAACAGAGACTTGTTGCACTCCATTTTCATTTTAGACATATTCTGTGATGTAGAAGAATCTGTTCTGTCCTTGTTTCTCACATTTTGGTGGGTATATTACAATGGACGACATGCCTGTTACTCACACGGAGTTAACACACTGCCATGCTATTCTCAAAAAGTGACAGAACAAGGATCTAGGCGCCAGGCGTTAATTGATACTTATTAGCATCTTTACATGTTAAATGTTCTCCCGTCTTTCCTCTCCTTCACTGTTTTTGCTCTTAATCATAAGAAAGTTTAAAATTCCAATTAAGAAATAGAGATAGTGATCTTTCTAGATCCAAGATGGTCGCCTGTCACCAATTTTGCTTTTCTCATCCATCCAACAATAAAACAGGGCACAACAAATTAACAATCCCCTCCCCCCCACCCCCACCCCCCACCCCCAAAAAAAAAAGAAAGAAAAAAGGATTTTAAATAAATATTAGTACATTAGCAAGACGTTCTAATAAACTAAAAAATGTTTTATTTCAATTTTAAAATATTCTTTGTATTTGCTTATTTCAGGTTATAAAACTATATTTCAATACTTAAGCATAGGATAATTGAAATCGTGAATTGTTGGAGTTCTAGATTCTATAGTCAATCCGCTTATAATATATAGATTTCATTTAATGGCATGTTAGAAGTATTTCACTCTTGCCAATGATCAATATTAAAACAATCCTATAAATATTGCTATAATTTGAATTGTATTCTTTATTAAAAACGAATAAATACAAAGTAATAGAATTATTACAACGCAAACTATAGCACCATGATATCTTTGTCATATAAACTGCCTGTGTTTTTAACGCTTAGATAGGATCGTCCTTCAAACAGACCAATGCGAGTTTCAAGAACGGTAATTATAAAAAATATCAGTTAGTCTCAGTTCTACAAATGATAACGAGACTTCGATAAACTTAAATCTGGTAAACTGTATATTTTATCTAATTTATCAGATAAACTTAATACATTAAGGGAATGTAGTAAAATACATTTAGTAAAACACTGGTGTTGACTGCCTTTTGATCAGCTCAGCTACAGGTAACTTGTCGCCTTTCCAGGGTCTGAAACACAGCAGTAACAGTATGATTAAATTATCACAAGTAATAATTGTAATGTTTCAAAGGCTGCTGTTCTTACAGTGAAAAGTTCAAATTCTTATTATTTTATCCTGATCAAACTTTCAAACAATGCACATATAAGTGAAAATCATCCTTCTATTCAAATTCAAATTCAATAACAGTTATATAATATAATTTATATGTCTCCACTTTACAGCTGTCTCGATGTTCTATTACTCTGAATTTATCTTGATTCGTGACATAATACTGGTATGCAGAAAAGTTAGAACATGTGAACGAAAACAAGGACACCCTGTATTTAATTCAGGAAATGCACTAGCTTATCTATAATATCACATATTTTTTATAATACTGACAAAAATCAGTGTAAATAAAAATGAAAATTTGTTTAAGCTCTTAAAAGTTATCTGCCCTTTATCTGCAAATAGCTTTCCTGTGTGAAAACACCATCGTACTATTTGAGTTTATTTTTAGACTTAAAAACAACTATCATTGGTGAATTATTGTTTATCACTTAGGTTATAATTAAGTGCCAGATTATGATATATTGTTCATATAGTATCGTGATACTTACTTATAATACATTCTAGGAGCTTCGTTGATATTTGTAGCTTGAAACACCTGTTCAAAATCAAATAGTTAAAGTGTTAACTGATTCGAAAAAAAAACAGTTTGTTTCAGTTTTCTGCATTTATTCATTATCCGCAGTGTGTAAAGTGCTAACAGAGTATACTATGAAGGGTACGTCAATGAAAACATATAAACGTGCATCTAGCGAGACACAAAAAAGGTGCATCTAGCGAAACACAAAACACGTGCATCTAGCGAGACACAAAAAAGTGCGCCTAGCGAGACACAAAAAACGCGCGTCTATCGTGACACAAAAAGTGCGTCTAGCAAGACACAAAAAAGTGCGTCTAGCGAGACACAAAAAACGTCCGTCTAGCAAGAGACAAAAAACGTCTGTCTAGCAACACTCAGAAATGTCTCTGTAGCATCACAAAGAAACATGCGTCTAGCAAGTCGCATTAACGTGCGTCTAGCAATAAACATATATGTGCGTTTAGCAACACAGATAAATGTGCGTCTAGCATGACACATAAACGTGCGTCTAGCATGCCACATAAACGTGCGTCTAGCATGACACATTAACGTTCGTCTAGCATGACACATAAACGTGTGTCTAGCATGACTCATAAAACGTGCGTCTAGCAAGACACATAAAAGTGCGTCTAGCATGACACATTAACGTGTGTCTAGCATGACACATAAACGTGTGTCTAGCATGACACATTAACGTGCGTCCAGCATGACACATAAACGTGCGTCTAGCAAGACACATAAATGTGCGTCTAGCAAGACACAAAAAAGTGCGTCTAGCGAGACACAAAAAACGTCCGTCTAGCGAGAGACAAAATACGTCCGTCTAGCAACACACAGAAACGTCTCTGTAGCATCACAAAGACACATGCGTCTAGCAAGACACATTAACGTGCGTCTAGCAATAAACATATATGTGCGTTTAGCAACACAGATAAATGTGCGTCTAGCATGCCACATAAACGTGCGTCTAGCATGACACATAAACGTTCGTCTAGCATGACACACGTGCGTCTAGCATGACTCGTAAAACGTGCGTCTAGCATGACACATAAACGTGTGTCTAGCATGACACATTAACGTGCGTCTCGCATGACACATAAACGTGCGTCCAGCAAGACACATAAACGTGCGTCTAGCAAGACACATAAACGTGCGTCTAGCATGACACATAAACGTGCTTCTAGCATGACATAAGGTAGATATGTTATCTTTTTGTATGTTTTATCATCCTTCTGTTTCGATCCTACCTACACTTATTTCATAATCACCGAACCACAAAATGTCGACTTTATTAACAGATATTAACAATAGATTTATCGACAAGTTCACTACTCGTTAACTGAATTACAATACGAAAGCGTTTATATAGATAAAGAATTGGGAAAAGTAAACACTTCCGTACATACATATACTTACAGGTATCGTATATGAAGTTGGCATATTCATTATAAATGCGTTCTTTTTCTTGTCACTTTCGACTTTTTCTTCCGCTTTTTTGTTTGTTTCTGTTTTCAACTGTGCTTCAAAGTTCGTTGTTTTTGTTGCTTTCGGCGTTCTCGCTGGTTGTGAGGTTTTCGTTGGAGTCTGCATACGTGCCATTGCATCAGCAGATGCTGCTCTCCGCTTATTGTCGTCTTGAATAGCTTTAAGTCGTCTTTCTTTCTTGAAATTTTCTAATAAGATAATTAAAGAATCATTTATGAAAATATACCTAGTACATGAATCGAGTAATCTAGGATAATGCAATATTCTTGTATTTCTGAGAAAAAGTTGTTGACATTTCAGATCAGGCTGTGATGATGACATGTGTCTAATTGAATTATCTCCCTTTGTTAATATAATGTAATTATTGTGTTTTCAAGTATTTGTTTTAAGGCATATACAGGAAAAAAATATGTGAGATTAGTATATAACAATAAACAGGTTTACCAAAAAAATCTGCAGATGTTTTAGGTCGTGAAAGGTGTTTTTGAAGGGCGGCGCCATAGTCCTTCCGACGTCTGAGTGAGCTCATGTTCTGTTCTGACGTCACTGGGGTCCCGCAACGGAATGGTTCAACATGGGAATGACTGGAGGAAGGGCGAGAATCCTGGGAACGATTCAGAGCCTCGTTTTCTAAAAACAATCATGAAAACAAAATATGCTATTTTGAATATACAAGGAAAATTGAAAAAATTCAAGAAATTTTTAACCTGTTAACGAAAGGAGTAAAGATATCAGTCGTACAACAAATTTAAACCGATTTGTATTTCCTTTACACTTTAAACATTATTCTAGAGTGTAAAAAAGGTTAAAGACAATTTTTAAAAGGGTATTTTAATGCTTAAATGTTTGATTCGATCAGCAACAGTCAAGGTCATTTGAAGATGTCTATGGATGGTGGTGTATTGAAGGTACAATGACCCGTTCATATCATACTGACGGTATAATGACCCGTTCACAATATACTGACGGTATAACGACCCGTTCACAATATACTGACGGTATAATGACCCGTTCACATTATACTGACGGTATAATGAACCGTTCACAATATACTGACGGTATAACGAACCGTTAACATTATACTGACGGTATATAACGACCCGTTCACATTATACTGATGGTATAATGACCCGGTCACATTATACTGACGGTATAATGACCCGTTCACAATATACTGACGGTATAATGACCCGTTCACAATATACTGACGGTATAACGACCCGTTAACATTATACTGACGGTATATAACGACCCGTTCACATTATACTGACGGTATAATGACCAGTTCACATTATACTGTCGGTATAATGACCCGGTCACATTATACTGACGGTATAATGACCCGTTCACAATATACTGACGGTATAATGACCCGTTCACAATATACTGACGGTATAACGACCCGGTCACATTATACTGACGGTATAATGACGCGTTCACAATATACTGACGGTATAATGACCCGGTCACAATATACTGACGGTATAATGACCAGTTCACATTATACTGACGGTATAACGACCCGTTCACATTATACTGACGGTATAATGACCCGGTCACAATATACTGACCCGTTCACAATATACTGACGGTATAACGACCCGTTCACAATATACTGACGGTATAATGACCAGTTCACTTTATACTGACGGTATAACGACCCGTTCACATTATACTGACGGTATAATGACCCGTTCACAATATGCTGACGGTATAATGACCTGTTCACAATATACTGACGGTATAATGACCCGTTCACAATATACTGACGGTATAATGACCAGTTCACTTTAAACTGACGGTATAATGACCCGGTCATATTATACTGACGGGATAATGACCCGTTCACAATATACTGACGGTATAATGACCCGGTCACATTATACTGACGGTATAACGACCCGTTCACATTATACTGACGGTATAACGACCCGTTCACAATATACTGACGGTATAATGACCAGTTCACATTATACTGACGGTATAACGACCCGTTCACATTATACTGACGGTATAATGACCCGGTCACAATATACTGACGGTATAATGACCCGTTCACAATATACTGACGGTATAACGGTCACATTATACTGACGGTATAATGACCCGTTCACAATATACTGACGGTATAACGACCCGTTCACATTATACTGACGGTATAATGACCCGGTCACAATATAATGACCAGTTCACATTATACTGACAGTGAAGTACCCAGTTCTTGTGCATCCCATATACATGTGATGTAAAAGACAACCAGGCAATGTGGAATATCAGTTTTCTGACTTTGGTTTGGAACGGACAAGGCACAGAACACACACAGTCTGTCTCATTTGGAAGCTAATGTGGAAATTCAACTCAAAAAGGAACATCAAGAAGACAGAATGTCTTTTAGAAAAGGAAGAAACTTCTTGAGATCCTGCAGTGGTGACACCAGGTACATTGTACAATTCTTAATCCCCACCGACGAGAGAGTAGAGCAACACTGACTTATACAATCACATACCCATTGACTTCTTGCTCGGTTTATCTGGTGTCAGGTCTACGTGTGTGATCGTGTGAGGTACACTAAGGCCAAACAACATCCTTAAAATACAAAATAAAATTAGTCTTATCACTGGCATAAACCATAACATCGATAATTTTACACCTGATAACCGTACACTAAAACCTTAGGTTTGACTATTGAGAGCAAAATTGACTATTGCGATAGTATTGATATTGCAAAAAGTACTATTGCGATAGTATTTGAAACCTACACATTGAAACATACTGTGTCCTGCATCTATCTAAATCTACAGCATGTTTTGAGACAAGCATTTAATATGTTACACTTGATACACCGTCGGAAATATAAAATTATATTTTGCCCTAGTTTTATGGAATTTGAGTTTGAATTATGTTCCCGTGTTACTATTTTCTTGATATGTTTTGTGTGCCAGGTGAATTTACTAAAAACCGAAATACATTTCTCTGTTTAGTTCACACGTGAAATGTAACCAAATTCATATTTTTTCATCAACCTTGCCGTAAAACAGAAACAAAAAACCGTTCGCTCCTGTTAATCATATTAACCGATAATCACTCGTTTAACTTGCTATGAACACTATCTTGAAATCCGAATGGAGTGTATTTTTAATCTAAAACTGGTTTAGTTACAACGTCACCATGAAATCAACAGTGCAATATGCCATGAAGTTGTGACGTCACAAATGAAAAAAAAAACGAGAACCGTGAACCAATCGCTAATAAGTGAGGCAATATAAAAACCACGTGTTGTCTTTTTCTGATCTTTTAGATATTGAATTATCCTTCCTAACCATCTCAAAACGCGTTTCAATACGTGATGCTTTTCAGGGATTTTAGATCCTTACAAAGTCACTATACATAACATTACAATATATACATGTTTTCTTATCTATTGTGTACTTACTTGTCGAAGAATTCAGTCATACATGGATGGTTGAAACTGTTTACGTTCATATACGAGTTGGGATCCGCTCCCTGCCTTAGTATCTAAAACCAAATATTTAAGAATTAACGCCTGTTATTATAAGTTGGTTGTATACGAATCAATTAATTACTATTTATGAAGACTGGAATGTTTTATATATAACAAGGTTTTGAAGAGTGTGTCTTTCAAATATATTTATAGAATGGAACCTGATTATTGTCAGAATCATTTTAAATGATTTGAAAATGTCACATTAAATCCTTCTTTGTTCCAGCGTATCATAAATTCTTAGGTAAACAATTGTACATTATGCTGATATTATGTTACCCAGTGATGATTGTACAAGGTAACCAACAACAACAAAGAAAAAGCCAACAGGACCTTCTTCAAACTCGAATTCGATGAAACTATGGCAAAATATGCACAAAGGAAAGATTTACTCAGATACTGCTGCAAAAATACAAGGAAGTAAGACCAGGTGTTCCGCAAGCGTCTGCGCCTTCTTGACACGCGCCATGTAAATTTTGATCAATCTAAGTAAGTAATGTCACGTTCCCAAATGAGAAAAGGTTAATTACACCCGGCATAATTATGGTCATCAGTCACTTCCAATATATGGTAATTGTGAGAGGGGAGAGCAAATTATTACATCTGTGTGAAGTGGAGAGTTATATCGACTCTGTACGAAAAAGGTTAGCAAAAGGTTGTACATTTTAATTACCCGTCGGTTGAGATATCTATGACCACAGGACACTAGGTAAATGATTATAGTTTTCAATTACGTAATGGTGTTGAATGATTACGACATCATCCTAGTTATGTCATTTTACCGATATATAATCCGTTACGTCATTAGCACGCGAGATCAACGTTTTCAGTCATAAGGTTATTAAAAGCATACATGTTAACAACACCAAAATGCCAGTCTCAAATAGACATTAAAGTTAGTAAACCAAAATAAAATGTGAAAATTAAAAATACCCAAGATTCTTTTTATTTCATTTATCATTAATATTATCATTATTTTATCAAATATCGTTTCACTACCAATCAAAACTATTTTTTTTCATAATGGTAATACATTTCCATCAATAACAGTTTAATTAGGTGTATCCAATTAATTTTAAAATTCAATTCTTCAAAATAACCTTTTCCTGTAAATATATATTCTGTTTAACATTTAACATTCGTGTAAACCATTTTAAACGTGACCCATGGAGTTAACCTCCGTTCACTTGCCATTCCGTTAAGTAAAAGCGATGAAACACATTGAGGTGCCCACACAGACCTTAATTCATACTTTGTGTACAGTGATAAGAAACAAGTGCGTGGATTTATCTAGTACTATGAATATTAAATCACGCTTAACATTAATTTGGCCACTGTGGGGTTTACCTCCTGGAGATGTTGGAACGGGGAAATCTAAATTAATATGAAATGAAGTTAATCGTACAGGTATATTTAAGGGTTCATTAAAATCGAAATGGAAACAAAAAGGCACAGGAACAGATATGACAGGATGGTATCATATTTCTCATAGAAAGTAAAGCATTGCTGTAGGGACCAGTATATATATGATTTTAGACTTATTTTGAACATAGTTTATCTAGCAATGAGAAAAAAGAATTTTCACCTATTAAAACACTGACAGATTAAATTTAGGCTGAAAGTAATCTTGTTCTATTATTTCGAGAAAATTATACAACAGCACTTGATAACTCTCGATCAGTTTTTTGATTGGACAAATTATGGTGAGACTTACCTCCGACTGATTCAGGGCATTCAATAGCATGAGAGTACAGCTGTGTGTAGGGCTAAAACGTAAGGCGAGCTCCAGATCTCTTTTCGCCTGTAAATAACAAACAATATATAAGGCGAGATCCAGATCTCTTTTCGCCTGTAAGTAACTAACAATATATAGATATCCGTACATTGTTAAATGTAAACAGGCTTACTAATGGTTGAGATAACCTTCGTTAGAATCTATCTGTAATGTATCCGTGTGTGACATTTCCTCTTGTGTCTGTCTCTAACATTTCTTCAGATCATGGAAAAAGTAATAATCATCGCCTGTGTTTCTATTTCTATAAAATCACAGCTTGGTTAGTATAACTTTATATGAGCTATCAAAATCAACATTTTGTTAAAAAATAAAACATTTTACTTGTTTTTCGTTGTTTCTGGCGCTGTGCACGAGAGCTCGGATGCAGTACACGTCCTGAAAGAGAAAAGATGAAAATAAGTAAGTACCAATAATCAACTAATTACTATGGACAGCTGATCGTTTAGGTATGTAAACGTAAGATAGAATATTATGCCAAAAATGAATTTTAATAAAATGGTATTATCCCGATAGCATTCTCATTGTACATGAGTGGTGATATCACGACATCTGTATATATCTGGGTGATATGTTCTCTAGACTGATGTGACAGTATGAGGTAGATGATGTACTGTACAGGTTTGGTAATATCACAAAATCTGTATATATCTAGGTGACATGTTCTGTATAATTGCCAATACATATACTCACGGGATTTCTACTGTCTAGTACGACGGTCTTCTCGGCATCCCGCATAGCCAAAACCATATTACCTTCAGGGTGGAAATCAAGCAGATAAATGTAAAGTGGAAGTGATATCACGCGAGTGAAACTGTTTAAAGGGAGGTAACTCTAACAGGACAAAAAACATGTTGAAATATTACACACTCTTAAAGTATATACAAGTTTTTAGGTGTAAAGAAATGTCTTTTAAGCTGATACCTGACTTTGTGTGGGCGAATGCTCGACGAGCGTGAATCGGTGTCATCAGACAGGAGTTTGTGATACAACCGGCCAAACATCCGTTCTGTAACAATATAAATGTGTGCTTAATTTAGCTATACGTTATAGATATCATTTACAGTGATAATGGTATGGAGACTATATCTATGTTTACATTGGTATCGAGACTATATCTATGTTTACATTGGTATCGAGACTATATCTATGTTTACTTTGGCATCGAGACTATATTTATGTTTACTTTGGTATCGAGACTATATCGATGTATACTTTGTTATCGAGACTATATCTATGTTTACTTTGGTATCGAGACTATATCTACGTTAACTTTGGTATCGAGACTATATTTATGTTTACTTTGGTATCGAGACTATATCGATGTATACTTTGTTATCGAGACTATATCTATGTTTACTTTGGTATCGAGACTATATCTATGTTTACTTTGGTATCGATACTATATCTATGTTTACTTTGGTATCGAGACTATATCGATGTATATTTTGTTATCGAGACTATATCTATGTTTACTTTGGTATCGAGACTATATCTATATGAATACTTCGGTATCGAGACATTATATATGAATACTTCGGTATCGAGACTATATCTATCTTTACTTTGGTATCGAGACTATATCTATGATTACTTTGGTATCGAGACTATATCTATCTTTACTTTGTTATCGAGGCTATATCTGTAATTTCCCTATGGTATCGAGACTATATAACTGTGATTACCTTTGGTTTCGAGACTATATCTGTAATTACCTTTGGTATCGAGATTATATCTGTAATTACCTTTGGTATCGAAACTATATACAAGTAATTACCTTTGGTATCGAGACTATATACATGTAATTACCTTTGGTATAGAGACTATATCTGTAATTACCTTTGATATCGAGACTACATCTGTAATTACCTTGGGTATCGAGACTATATATCTGTAATTTCCCTATGGTATCGAGACTATATATATGTGATTACCTTTGGTATCGAGACTATATCTGTAATTACCTTTGGTATAGAGACTATATATCTGTGATTACCTTTGGTATCGAGACTATATCTGTAATTACCTTTGGTATCGAGACTATATACATGTAATTACCTTTGGTATAGAGACTATATCTGTAATTACCTTGGGTATCGAGACTACATATCTGTAATTTCCCTATGGTATCGAGACTATACATCTGTGATTACCTTTGGTATCGAGACTATATCTGTAATTACCTTTGGTATAGAGACTATATATCTGTGATTACCTTTGGTATCGAGACTATATCTGTAATTACCTTTGTTATCGAGACTATATATGTAATTAACTTTGGTATCGAGACTATATTTCTGTGATTACCTATGGTATCGAAACTATATCTGTGATTACCTTTTTTTATCGAGACTATATATTTGTGATTACCTTTGGTATCGAGACTATATCTATGGCGTTGGTGAGCTCACTGATCGCCTGTGTGTGTTTGCCTACATGTTGATATGCCACGGCTAAGTGGTAATATATCTCATACATCTGTAAACAATAATACAGTATAAACAAACGTAAAGGATCAGTATTCTAGACAGTATTAGGACTGTAGATAACATCACGCTGTGTTATGATGATAAGTTTCTAAAATTAAAGTAAATCCGCAACAAACAAGCTTACATGACAAATGTCGGAAACCCGGGTAAGCAAATGAAGTTGTTTACATTTTGTATAATGAGTTGACAGAGAATATGTAAATAGATATTGTCGATTTTATTATTATTCAACCAGTTTTGATATAGAATAATTCCATGTTATATAGACATTGCTTAAACTGAAATGTCATTACTGTACATAGTTGAAATGAAAATATATTATGATGCAAATTACTCAAATATGAACGCACAAACATTTGGAAGCTGGCTGGGGGTTCATAGTCCTCTGGAAAATGTTTTTTGTCAATCATCCACAACAGATGTCGATATCCATCAATCACCTGAAATAATTGATATTTATCAGTACAACGTACAATGACGGCATTGTTTGGACTTTTATTTTCTTGCTTGCTTGTTTGTTTGTTTTAAATATATTTACATATCACATTTTCGCACTATCCCGGGTCATTGAGGACGGGTTTAAATCGTAAATGTCTTGTCACCTTCTTGGTTTGTCTAGATATGACAATATATGGTGTATTCCCTAGTGTTACCTTCCATCATGCTCTCTCTCTCTCTCTCTCTCTCTCTCTCTCTCTCTCTCTCTCTCTCTCTCTCTCTCTCTCGTTCGTTACATTTTTTCCTTCCACAAATCGTCTTCTTCCCTCTCCATCATTCATATGTTCGTTATCTCTTGAACCCCTTTCTCGTCATTCAAAACTTTTTTTCAATTTGATTTTGACTAAACTGTATATAGAACTAGAGTCGCCATTTGGTGTAGTAGTAAGAGGTACTTTATATAAGATGAAATGTGGTCCCGGAGATTTAAAACGGCTATGTAACAACTAAATACCAAAAAGTTCAACATCTTTCAAAAATATCCTCACAATTATTCTATTAATCATATAATTGAAATAAACGTTCAATGCTGAAATATTACAATGTATTTTAACTTTGACAGATAGATCGCGGTACTAAGAAAGTTGAGTTAGTGGAAACCAAGTGATGAAAACACGCCCTTGTTTACATGTTTATCAGTTCTACCGTATGTTAACTGTAATAGATTTTAACTGTGTCGTGTTTCCTATGATATAACACTATAATTATATAGGACCTAAATATGAAAGGGTCGCGAGACGCTGTTAAATCTATAATTAGATATATAGTTCGTAGTTCAGACATTGCCCCCCTGCTGCTCTTTGTTAAAAAAAAACACTTTATACAAGTCTCAGGAGTTTTGATAGAAATCGTAGTTCGGTATATATAAATTATATTTATAAATACGATTGTTGGTCATGTGTTATTATCGAAATACGTTATTGGTATTTCGTGTTAAAACGTTATCAATTATTCGTTTTACCGAAATGTTCGAGATTTCGCATTGGGTCATGTCACACACTTAGATGTAAGTATGCTTCACAGTTGACTGCTTAAAAAACGAGCAATTTGAAACACGAGAAATCGACGCTAATCCATGTTCAAAGAAAAATTCGTATTTCCTACTTAAAACATGACTCTGCGACCGTGCTTCTGTCAGAAAGACTTTTAGTGTATTCACTATATTTAATAATATCGAATAAATTTGACGATTTCGTGTGTCCAGGCTGTGTGTAATTGAATTTTTATATCGATCTTTTATATTCTATGAACGACACCGTTTATACAACGAAGGACGTGACAAGTGACTACAATAAAGGATGGTATACTTCTGCGGAGTTAATGTGCCATGAAATTAAACTTAGATGTTTGAAAAATGGACAAAGGGAATAAATCTGACATTTTGACAATAAAGTAATACATAAATTTTTGACTTTTCATTTCCATTAGCAGTCATTGTCACGTGATTCACCGACGGGTATACTAACTTCAGCGACACGTGACTTAAAGAACACATAACTGGTCCACACGTAACTTCAGCAACACATGACTTAAAGAGCATAACTCTTTCACACTTAACTTCAGCGACACGTGACTTAAAGAACACATAACTCGTCCACACTTAACTTTAGCGACACGTGACTTAAAGAACACATAACTCGTCCACACTTAACTTCAGCGACACGTGACTTAAAAAGCATAACTCGTCAACACATAACTTCAGCGACACGTGACTTAAAGAGCATAACTCGTCCACACGTAACTTCAGCGACACGTGACTTAAAGAACACATAACTTGTCCACACGTAACTTCAGCGACACGTGATTTAAAGAACACATAACTCGTCCACACTTAACTTCAGCGACACGTGACTTAAAAAGCATAACTCGTCAACACATAACTTCAGCGACACGTGACTTAAAGAACACATAACTCGTCCACACGTAACTTCAGCGACACATGACTTAAAGAGCACATAACTCGTCCACACGTAACTTCAGCGACACATGACTTAAAGAGCATAACTCGTCCACACGTAACTTCAGCGACACATGACTTAAAGAACACATAACTCGTCCACACGTAACTTCAGCGACACGTGACTTAAAGAACACATAACTTGTCCACACGTAACTTCAGCGACACGTGAATTAAAGAACACATAACTCGTCCACACATAACTTCAGCGACACGTGACTTAAAGAACACATAACTCGTCCACACGTAACTTCAGCGACACATGACTTAAAGAGCACATAACTCGTCCACACGTAACTTCAGCGACACATGACTTAAAGAGCATAACTCGTCCACACGTAACTTCAGCGACACATGACTTAAAGAACACATAACTCGTCCACATGTAACTTCAGCGACACGTGACTTTAAGAACACATAACTCGTCCACACGTAACTTCAGCGACACATGACTTAAAGAACGCATAACTCGTCCGCACGTAACTTCAGCGACACATGACTTAAAGAGCATAACTCGTCCACACGTAACTTCAGCGACACATGACTTAAAGAACACATAACTCGTCCACATGTAACTTCAGCGACACGTGACTTTAAGAACACATAACTCGTCCACACGTAACTTCAGCGACACATGACTTAAAGAACTAATGTCTATATCTGGGTGAAAATTGTGCATTATCTTCATACCCCCAGGGACCGTTAGGGTTGTTCTGACGCGGTAACCTCAAATGGCAAAGCACTTTAACCTTCAAGTAATTGGTCTGGATGGCATGCAATGGGCCTCCCGTATACGGTTCAGTAAGACAACCGCCAGATACTAAAAGGCGTCCCACCTCAAAATGACACTGGCTGTTCATAGGGAGATTAATTAATGTATCTGTGATTTTCTTATTACACCATATTAAATTAGTTACAACACAAAATATGAAGCAAATCTAAAAAGTGTCACATGATGATATACAAACCTTTCCCCATCGTCGACATCGCTCGTTAAACATCGTCGTCCTGAGCGCCATATTTACCGCTGTGTTTAACTCGTCCATAGACTTAAATTTCCACGCCTTTTTCACCATGGTTATTTTTTATCCTATAACTTCGACACAATATTACCATACACCTTATCCTGGTAGAATAACTGAAATCTATAATCTTAATCTTTTTCGATGACTAGAGTACATCACTTTCTGCACTACTCCGACATGAATGTTTGACATTAAAAGCTCCCGACACCAAACGTGATCCCTTTTAAAATCATCAGCTTCCGTCGAGTCTTATGAAAGGCACTTGGTGATTACATTAAAATCTCCACTTCTCGGAGTCGTTAGAGTTAAGTGGGAGATCTAGATTTTAAAAATGTTCCATTCTCCAGATTTCCAATGTTGACAACTTAAAGGTAATTATGACGCTCTTTTTCCGTTAAATAAACATAATATCAAGTCTGATTTAAGCTTATATCTAAATTGTTTACAGGCAAAACAATATCTATAAAAGTCAACGCAAAACGAAAGCTGAAAGTTTTAGAGTGAAATTATTCTATTATCTGCCTCTGTCAGTCTTTGATGAGAGAATCATATCGATCACCAAAATTATCCAAAATTCATATTTACCGGTGATTGATCAACTCGAGTCCATGTCTTCTAAAATAAACAATATACAAGTAGATCGATTTTAAAGAGACATGATCTAACTTCTCGTTTCAAACGTTGAAAACATTTCTCCAAGGGCGATATGACAACTGAAACAGCTGGCACGTAGTAATGTCTCTTTAAACTTCTGACGTATATCACAAGAATCTCCACCACTGTGTACACTGTGTTAACTTTAGTAAGTGGTTATTTGCTTGTTCGTAAACCTGTACAAATAAAATCCTTTTGCTGGCTTTCAGTCAAATCAATTGGACCAATGCTCTCCCTTTCCATATCACGATGCAACCAGTTGCGAAAGTTTTTTAAAATGTAGAAATATATATCGTTGTCACACACAAACACTTTAAACATTTCAATAGCTCCAACGGTATATATTAATTTTATTTCACACACATATAAAGCTTAATGTTTACTCTTATCAAAGCTGTATTGTTGCAGGTTCGACAGAAGGCAAACGTTATCGGAACTTTTCCAGCTTTCTAAACACCGGTACAGATCTTTCCCACTCCAGTCTTGTTCAGCAAACTACCTTTTAGATAAGATAGCCAGAAAACTAATTTGATTTCTAAATTCCATTCATAATTTTCACTCCGAGTAAAAGCTCATGTATTTGCATATAGTTAAAAACATGAAAGCTATTTCTTCTATACTATCAACTTTACTTATCACGTTCAAAATTAGATTTGATATATTTCAACTTTCAACTTTATACTTCAAACTGTTGACAATCCCCACGAAGACATACATTTTCAAATAAAGTATTCATTTTACGATGCTATAAACATATTTTATTCAAATTCGTGTTTCATTATGAAACTTTTTAATGAAACGAAGTGGACAACGTTTTATTTTTTTACAAGATAACAAATCTCTGAAAATTTAGTACGTGGTTTACAACCGTTTAGATGCTAAATCGGATCTGTAAGTAACGGGGGCATTAATCGGCTTTAAGTCGCGACAACTATTACGAAAAGCCAACAAACCGTATAAGTTAAGGTATTTGTAACGGATACATAACGTTTATTGACGAATTACAACCGGTGTTAAGGACGCAATGTATTCTGTGTGGTTCGCCCAAGAAATGCATACAAAGAGCGATTTACCTTGTGAATAAAGGGATTTAAAGAAAGTCATTTGTTTGTCCATACTTACGCAATTTTAGGGTACAAATCCGCTAATCGCCAATAAACCGACGGTACGGTGACTCAATATGGTATTATGCCTGATAACATACGATTTCTTGAGACTTGAGTACAGATCATTTATTAGAATTAGAAATGGTTATAGGGACTGGTCACCAATGATGGGTCCCGAGGCACGGACATTCAAGTGAATAAAAAAATGTGTAAATATCATGATAGGTATATATGTGTTGCCTAGCGATGGTCGAGCCGAGAGTCTTACACACATGTTGTCGCCGTCGTGTATTTGGTGTGTGGTTTAGATGTTTTGGGGTAATCGAACTGTTGGTATTGATACGAAAACAAAATGGCATAGGTAGGTGATAAGACAAATTGTATAACGACTAGTCTAGGTATCGCTGTGTCCAGCAAATGAATAGTGCATATCAACTTGTTTAAGGATCGCTAATGAAAATTTACGACAAAAGACCTATTTCAGTTTATCAACATTATGGCTACAGGACATCGAAATTAAACTCTGGATAGAGAAATTATTGCTGTTGTCGTTCTTGCTGCTGTTGTTGTTAAGGTTTGGTTTCAATATGGAGAAGACAGAAGAATGAAAGGAAACATAACCAGGATATTGTGTTATTCGCCTTTCACGATATCCCTTATCACATGGTCTGAAAAATCTGCGGCACGTTATATATTTTATTGAACTTATATGACCAACATGTCTGAAGAAAATTAAACCTTTCATTGACTCCACCATACCTTCACAAGAATGATTACAAAAACATGCTAGAATCTTTGTTTACAATAAACCAGGCGTATATAATGAATCGTTATACTGTGAAAATACCTCTATTGGTATTTGGCGTAAAGATTTATTTGTGACGGTTAGTCAACCCAGCTGTATAAAAGGACATTAGAATGCCGAAGAACACTTTGTATACTTATGAGATATTTACGCTCCTGGTCCATGATAAGCTATTACTCTATAACCAGATTGGTTATTTAAGCAATACCTATTTTATCTGTGTTATCGCCCCTTTGTTAACATCGTAAGTCAACAGGTGATATCACATACAATTACGTTGCCCCCGACGGATATGGCTGCCAATACACGAACTGGTTACCAATATAGTGAGCCTGCCTGAACCTAACGTATAAATATGACGGCGAGGGCGGAACAAGCTTTCTCAACAGAGTTCACCAACACCCTACGGAGGCCCGGGGGTGGAAGACGCCTGGACCTATCACCCCAGAGGTGTATGACATGTGTACGTATTTATAGATATTATATACACCTGTTTGTATACTAGTGTACGCTTGGATGGTTCTAAGTATTACTCATCAGGAGTTTACAACTCCATATTCCAACCCGGAACATGTCCAATACATGTTGAAAAAAGCCATGTCATGATATAATATAAAAACCATACTATGTGTTACCAAAAGAATCAGCCTGTGTTTTAGACTAATATCAAATATCTCTCTATACACTACCTTCTGGATAAACAAGTGTGAGTGATTTATGTTGACAGATATAATTGTCCATGAACTTATCTGCAATACACCAAACAACCGCAACATACATCGTTTTATTATATATATTGTTTTGTTTTGTTGTTAAAATTTGCTTGTTTGGTTTAATTTTATTATTTTTGTTTTGTTTATTAGTTTCTTTCATTTCCTTTTTGATTGGGCACTAGCATATGCTTAGTAAGTAAATATTTGAGAACAATATCTATATGTCGCTTGTATACAAAAACTCAACTGGGACCATTTACATTGATAACAATGTCTATATTTTCAAATTTATTTTTTCAGAATCGTGTGCTTAATGTGTTCGTGGCTGTTTTTACGATCATAATAGTTATAGTAAGTACAGAAACTATTTCATATGCGTGTAAAAAGATATAGAATTAAGGTGTTTGTGTTATATTGGGGATGTTGACAGAGTGGTCTACCCTTGATTTTCTAAATTTTTTTCACCTCCGACTGTTGAAATACATTCTAATTCATTTCACTATCTTACCTTCCCAGTTTAATATAAATTGAAGATAAAGCATTTTCAATACACGACAGTAGGATTCAAGTACCCCAAGTTGTATTTCTGTCTGTACACGACTTTTTTGTATTTCTAATGACCTATGCGACAAATGCCGACATGGTCTTTCTAATTTTTTTCTATATATATTCCATGATGATATATGTATAAAAGTTTCACATTTCCGTTGACTTTAGGAAACACTCGTCAGTGCTCTCATATTTCCAAGGTGGCCTCCTGTGGGAAACAACGTATTTTTCGCCGTTACAATAGTTCTGATATGTATTTCACATTTACTTCAGGTAAGTTCACAAAATAGGTCGATCGACCACGACCGTTTAGATTAAGCTATAAGATGGCAGCAGTATTTCCTGGTAATTAATGTTAAAAAACGTTCAGTTCAGTATATTGTGGTGACCTGATCATTTTATCGCCAACTTTTTAATCTTCTTCCTGAAGAGTTCCACAAATAGAACACTAGAGTTAACTCCCCTGTACTATAATCGTCACATTAGTGTGGTACATAATTATATATGTATCACATATATAAAACAATATACATATTATATCATACTTCATTACTCACACTTTCAAATCCATGTGTCGCACGAAAATTGGCACAAGAACAATTTTGATTGTATTTTGGTAACATACTCCATCAGCATCGTGTATTTTTTCAAATCAATATGGTACAGGCAGGTCCTGTAACAGTTCAAGCATCGAGATGTGGTCTATTTATTTTTTTTTTGAATTGTTTCGTTTGCCAGAGCTCTCATCATTTTTTCAGGGTATTGAATTTTCAAAATGGTATAAATCAAAGCCAACCTTACACCGAATTTTCGAATGAACTTAATTCAAATTGTGGAATGGAATTTTCAAATCAATAGAATTTTTTTTTTTTTTTAGTTGCTAAACTTGGAATCCTTTAAGGGACTAAATGGATAGATATTCCTTTCACAACTGATAAAAACAAAATAACATTTAAATATCTGTTAGAAATTGTGTACTTTCGGTTAATGATGATATTTCAAAGTTTTCATAACCATTTATCAACAACGTCAAAAAATTACAATGAAATGGGAGCGACCCAACACTTATTCAAATCCTTATCGTTCCGAGAGTGTAAACAAAGTCTTTCGCTCTGTCACGCGTATAGCAAGAGATCATTTTACAATGTAAGAATTGAAACATGGCTGGCAAATTAAGGTTACATAACAAGACATAGTGAAAAATATCAAAATGGTTGGGTTAAAACGAGGCTCCGACAAGTCACGCGATAAATTCGGCTATCTTCGATCAAAACAGCGATGGGTGGTAGACGAAACAGCGAGTATCGACTAGCGTTAGTTTGAAGCTGATAATGTTTATCAATTTTACTCAGAGAGTATTATAATTTTGTGAAGAGTCTTATTTCAAGTATTTCAAATAATGCCCGAAATCAAGAACGCATGGGAAAAATAACGAAATCTAACCAATTAGTCCCTTTAAGGCCCATCATTGTCAGTATACATCTGGATTACGTCACAACTAACGTGATAACCATGTGTTGTAGATATGCTGGTACAGACAAGGAGAAGTGGATCCCAAGTTTAGACGAATTATCATCTATAACGCCATGACCATTTGTTTACTTTGTGTGTGTGGAAACCTCTATATGCATGGCTTTGGTGTAGGCGACACGTGCACGAAACGATGACAGGAGTTATCGTCCTTTAAATATTGTCGTAAGGTTCAAGAATGAACCTCGCGCAATGCGTCTGGGGATGGTTTCGCTTCGTTAGCTTACAAGAGTAAAGTCTCGAGACACATGACATCTCTGGAGATATCGTCACCAGTCCATCTTTGTACAACACTGAGATCTCTGGAGATATCGTCACCAGTCCATCTTTGTACAACACTGAGATCTCTGGAGATATCCCCACCAGTCCATCTTTGTACAACACTGAGATCTCTGGAGATATCCCCACCAGTCCATCTTTGTACAACACTGAGATCTCTGGAGATATCCCCACCAGTCCATCTTTGTACAACACTGAGATCTCTGGAGATATCCCCACCAGTCCATCTTTGTACAACACTGAGATCTCTGGAGATATCGTCACCAGTCCATCTTTGTACAACACTGGGATCTCTGGAGATATCCCCACCAGTCCATCTTTGTACAACACTGAAATCTCTGGAGATATCGTCACCAGTCCATCTTTGTACAACACTGAGATCTCTGGAGATATCGTCACCAGTCCATCTTTGTACAACACTGAGATCTCTGGAGATATTCCCACCAGCCCATCTTTGTACAACACTGGGATCTCTGGAGATATCGTCACCAGTCCATCTTTGTACAGCACTGCGATCTCTGGAGATATCGTCACCAGTCCATCTTGGTACAACACTGGGATCTCTGGAGATATCGTCACCAGCCCATCTTTGTACAACACTGAGATCTCTGGAGATATCGTCACCAGCCCATCTTGGTACAACACTGAAATCTCTGGAGATATCGGCACCAGTCCATCTTTGTACAACACTGAGATCTCTGGAGATATAGCCACCAGTCCATCTTTTTTATCCCCATCTTATCCTAAAGTGAGTGAATGATTATTTTTCTCATGTCCTGTTTTCGTCCATGAACAGTGACGAGACTCGCGCCTCATTGTGGTTTAATCTTACACCAAATATAATTCTAGTGTACATGCCAATAGAACGTCAAATAAAATGATACTTCATTTTTTATATATATATATTTTTGAAAAATAAATTGTGGATTAAGATGAGTTTCAATCTCGATGATAACACAGGATTTTCAGTTCTGAGGATAATAGACGAACTAGTGTATGTGTGTGACCTCACCTCACCCCACCTTCCAGGTCACATTGGTGATGTCACTTGAATTGTTTTCAGAACATGCAAAGAACACGTGTAGCTTTGTAAACCCTAGGATTAGACAAGGAAATCTCACCCCGGAAAAGAAAACATGGGTTTACCTGTCCAGGGTGGGAGAAAAATCTGTCTTTCAAATAGTGAAAAGAGAGGGTAGCACGCGCTATGACGTCACTCAAAATTGGTAAGAGTAAGCATGTCGCAAATTGGTAACGTCATCAACTCTGTGCACATTTCACGGAACATTGGTGATGGTGCGATAGAAAGATTCCACAACAACTTTTGATTTGTTTTTTCGGTGAGTGTGTGAATAAAATTATCAAACATGGGTCTGTTCCGTTGATAGGTGTATCGTTTGACTGGCCAGAACGAGGCTATTACGTTTGCATAAAGACAATGTCCCTGTCCACGGAACAGAACCATGTAAGATTCTATTAATCTTATTTCGAGTATTGAGTTTGTCTGATCAGCACAAAATTTATTTTCAATATTTCATATGGAAATAAAGATTACTAAAATTTTGAAATCCCGTGATTCAAATAAATGAAACAAACACATTCATTGATGGCTTGAAATGCATGTAGCTGAAAACTTGTTGAAAGAAAGAAGGAAAGAAAAAAAGTTTGAACAGTCAGGATTAAGAGCGCATCTTTTTCCCGTTTCCCTGATTTTAAGCTCGGGAAATTTCGTCACTTTCCGTAAATTTAAAGCTCGGACAACTTCGTCACCTTTTCGTTACACAGATGATGCCGACACTTTCAGGTTTGGCATGAGACTGGAAATATTTTTATTGTCTCTCTCTCAACTGCGTTACGAATGAATTATTTGGATGTACTTGCGATATATGTCTGAATTGATATTGAAGTGTATATTTATGAATTCGATCCTCAATAAGTCAGAGATCATTGGTTCGATCCTTAATAAGTCAGAGATCCTTGGTTCGATCCTTAATAAGTCAGAGATCCTTGGTTCGATCTCTAGTTGATGTCCTTGGTAAGATCTTTAATTCGCCATAAATCCTGTATGTGATCCCTAGCGTTTCAGATGTCACATGTGCTTTGTCCTGTAAACAATAGGTCTCAGATTTGATCCCGAGTGAGCAAGTGATCATGGATGCGAAATCTAGTAAGCCAGGGGTCCCAGGTTCGATTCCTAGTAAGCCAAAGGTCTAGGGTGCAATATCTTGTAAGCAAGAGGTCCTAGGTTCGATCCTTAGTATTTAAACCAGAGGTCTTTGGTGCGTTTTTTAGTAAGGTCTCGATATATCGCTTAATTCGAAGACAAGACCTGTATTAATGTCCACGGTTTCCTTTTTATGTCATATTAATTTGAATCAATTTTTGTACAAAGCAAAACAAGATAAATAAATAAAGAAACTAACAACTGAACACAGAATATGGCTTTCAAAACCTTTCAGAAAACGATTTTCTTGTGAAGGAGTGTTACTTCAAGGAAATCCCTCCCCAAAACAATACTGACTGTTCATAGGGAAACAAACTATGGATAATGTTATGGTATTTGTATGTGTTATTTTAATTAATATAGGGTACGTGAAAGGCTCCCGAATATTCCTTGACATGTGTTCCTTGCCCCAGGGATCTTCTTCTGTTCTTGTTCAAGTTTTCCTGTTGGAAAATTCTGTTGCCTTTTTTTTTTTTTAAATGTGCTTGGGAGAAACATCTCATAGTTATTAATATGTTTTACTTGGTATATGACGCAGTTTATGAAATCTACATCATTAAAAAAAATATATCATTCTCTGGTGGTTAGAAAAGACGAAAGAAAGGTATACCCGACCATACTGTCTTTCTATTGGAAACGTGTGTCACTGGGAGACATCGTAATCTACTTTATTTTATATTTTCCTGATTATATGACATAGATTGTGGAATCTGCAACAGTGAAAATATTTTTCTACTCTGGTGGTGAGATTGTACGGTGTTTACAAAAGAAACAATCAGTTAATATTGAAATATTGAAAAGTCTATCATTTTAACTAAAAACAGATTAAACCAGCGCAAATCACAGCCAAAAGAAAAGTATACACAAGGATACTTTGAAATAAGACAAAATTGGGTCCGGAATCTTTTGCTCCATTATAGGCACCCGCCATGTAAATCTACGAAATGTCTAAGAAATAATACGTTCTCAAAGAGAAAACCGGGGAAGCAACACCATTAATGTTATATGAACCAATGTGATTTCAGACAACTTTGGAGACAAACGAATACAACATGCATATTTCCATCAAAACCATTCATGGCATTTAATTCATTACATCTTTCACACATAAAATCATATTTTCTTTCTTTCTCATTTTATTTCTTTTCCTTTCTCTTCATTTTCTTCCTTTGTTACAAACGATCATTGTTATTTTCGTGCACAGAGTCTAGATTGCTTAGTCTAACTTTCCAGCCGATATGATTATAAAGTCTCGCCTGTAATTATGAAAGTTGTGAAAATATAAGATGAACATCACATGCATGTCCATTCGTATTTACAGTGGATAAGAATTTAATATCTAAATATGTCCATATGGTTGTGATTAGGAAATAAGTTCGGAGATAGATTTGTCCTATTTTTACATTCCATGTTGCTTCACTGACACATATTTGTTAAACGAAAGCTGAAAACTTATATAATTAATGATCAAAATAAAAAAATACCTTGTATTTTCGAGGGAACTAGAAATTTGTGCAAAATGAATTAAATAATTATGCTTCGCTATACATGACGAAGTGGAACGAAGGGCAATAACTCTCGGTGGTGAATGTTAAAAGAAAATCCCCGTTCGGGTATTTCCGTCCTTTCCCGTCTCTTGTTCCGGACATACAGTTGTCGCTAACTCTTTTCCGTCTATTCAATCTCATGAATACAAAAACATGTCATTTTATTTATGTGACTAATTATGGCTATTAATTTATGATTGATTATATACAATAAACACTTTCGAGGTACATGTATTGCAACATACGACCATACAACGACCAATTTACGGCAACGTGTAAAACGGAAACACATTTCATGATTGTTCTCTCATCGTCTAATCGTCACCATGAATATTAGATGTGCTCAGGTAAATACAGTAGACGCATGTCTGATCACTTTATCTGAAATGATTAGCAAGAAGTAAAACAGCTAAAGACTTCCACCACCTTTAGCAGTATAATTTTGTCGCAGAAGCACTCCCCCCACCCTCCCATATTGTTTCTGTAACAGTCGGCACATGAGAAATCGGTCGACCAGTAGCCTGTTGTTGTTGAAGTCTGGTAATATTGAGCCATGAAAGTCTGTCGTTCTGTTCTGTTATTCAGAACATAAAATAATTGCTGTGAAAATATCCCGTAAACTATAATTACAATTGAATTGTTACTAGTAGTGCAATGGATCTCTGACCAAAACTTGAAGCCGTAATACAGTGTAAAATCCATTACGCGCAGAGGCTTCTGTGTGGAATGAATTAAGGAACACATGGATTTTTTACCATTCCCCTGTTTCATCCTTAAAACTTACACAATAGCTGCCTCCATATTTGGACTAAACACGTGCAATCACTAGGTTGTTAAGAGCAGTGGACATCTGACAATCAGTCGACCAACCAGATCTTTGAGTCTGCGATTGTGATAATTTTTATCGGATAGTGGACAGTTATTATTTTGAGATGTATGGTCCTACATTACAGGTACAAGAAACAAGAGGTTTAAAATGCCATTAGCAAGAAGTTTTGCTTATATATACATTTACATATGGATATGCATGTTTTGTATACCATCACAGTTTTGTATGAGAGATGATACTAGACCAATGTATAATATTTGTTTCTAGCCTTAATGACCAAGATAATGACATTTATGGAACCATGGAAATTCAATTGTATACAAATATCACAGTGTGTAATCAACTAAAAAGAAATACAAAATCTTATTATCTTCAATTGCAAGCTATATGTGATAGAAAAACACAACATATGAATTGAAATCCATTTGAGTTTGTTGCCAAGGTATGTATTAAACATTTTATGATTTGATGATAATAGCCAGAAGACTTGATGAACATGCAGCACTGTAACCTGCTGTGTTTACCAGAAAACTACCAGATGAAGTATTATTTCTATCACGGACTCTCATGGCCACAGGTAATGATGCAAAACCAATTGTAAACTTTTAAATATGTAATAAGTGTATCTCAATTTGATTTGTCATATTCATTAATTTGTCACAGCAGTGTTACTGCAAATTCTTCTGAACTGCGTTAGATAGAAAGAACATGAGGAAGAGATTCAATGGTATCATTATGAAATTATAATTATCTGGAAGATTTTGGGATATGATCATCAGAAATCAGTTTTAACGAGTACATGTGTACTAGAAAAGGGTTTTAGGTGTTTTGTGACTGAACATTTCTCCACAGCTTGTACATCCAAATTCTTTATTTCAGCTATCATATGTAGCTGAAGATGAAGGAGGTAAAATTGTTGGCTATGTTCTGGCAAAAATGTAAGTATCAAAACTGAGAAAAATTATTTATTTGTGACAAAGCTTTTTTTAGAGAAATTGAAAGAAGAACATGAATTGATACCATTAGAGTAGCTGTAAAATGATAATAGATAATTTTTTTCTATGTTATATGTTAATTTTGATAATGATGTTAAGGTGAAAGGGGTTTGATGAAATCAGGTGGCCTTCATTTTCTTATTCTCTGGTCCATATAACTACCCATTCATTAAAAGTTAAAGTCATTAACTTCATATCTGTTATATGGACATGAAACTGCTGTTTTGCACTCAGGAAATATCGGAAAACATTATGATTTCTGTTTGATTTTCTGTAATACAGAACCCACTTTTTCTTAAAAAAAGAATGAATATATTGAAAATTTATCATGTATTAAATATATAATTATATAGTCAACTGTCAATGTTGTGCAATTGATGAATTTACATTTGCAAATTTCATGATGAAAGTAAAATCACAGCATATTTGATTAAAAGTATAGGACTATACTTACAGAGCAGGATGTCAGTTTTGAGAAGTCTGTGTTCAGTGACTGGGTCACTTGTATACAAAGCTGTGCAAGCTTTTAAATAGCAGTGATCATACTTCACATTGCCATCTAAACAAGCACATAAAACCTGATTGATATAAGGCATGGTCTGCTTGCTTTTAATGAATTATTAAAAGTTATTCTGATCTATGAACAAGAGTGTCCTTCACACACAAGCTTACTTGTTTGACACCTGCAAATTTTTTCATGATGAATGAATGACATTTAGACTGTTGTGTTGTTTAAAGTTTTGTTGTGCTCTTTGGTGCTGTAATATTCCCTGTGCGTCTGTTGTGACAGGGAGGAGGATCCAGAAGACTCAGTGCCACATGGACACATCACATCCTTGGTAAGGCAATCCACATCTACTGATGTACTGGTTAAGTATAAGGCTATCACTGTTTAACAGAAGTCAGCAGACTACTATTAAATACAGGTCCAGTAATGTATTGTTCTCTTTCTACACCCTGGAAATCTTCAGGGATCAGACTCAATGGTAGGACCATGAGCATATTGTCTCTATTTGAAACCAATTGGGATGTTTATCATCACCATAGCTTTCATTTTTATGCTGATAACAAATAAATGTACATAGTTATCAGACCACATGGCCACTGAAACTCAAAATCAAAATGTTTCAAACTTGTTTAATAGATATTAGTGGTTGATGAACTCCAATATGATCAGTCTTAATAGGAAAAGAGAGAATTTCTCACCTGAAGTGCCAGAAAAAATAGGATGTACAAGGTAGATAAATTGTATGAGCTATTAGTAGAATTGCAAAAAAAAAACCCAAAACTTTGTTTTTCTTATAAGGAATCTATTTCAAAGTTCTGTGTTAAAATCCTGTGGTTTACATCAATGTCAATAGTATATATCCAACTTTTTATTTTACCTTCACCTATATGTATGGACTAGATATTATTTCTGTGACATTAGTTGCTGCCATCATTATACCCTGCATCAGAGGTGTATATATTATTATTGCTTTGTGCTGTCTCCTTGATAGAGCTACAACAGTATACTTTTTCATATTGTGTTGCAATAATTTCTTGTGTATCATATTAATTTGTTTTGTTTTCCTGTATTGTGGTACTCAATAAGAATCTCAATGCTCAGTTAATTTTTATCAAACTTGAAAAAATGGACAGATTTTTTTTTATGATTCTGCAAAGATGTGGCCAAGTGTGCAGTTATACCCAGAGAGTATTAGAATAAAGAAAAGATATTTTGACAGTATTTAATATTGGAAAATATGGATCCACTAAATAACATTCAAATTAGTATAAAGTTGAACTTTTAAGAATAGACCTGTGCCAAGGTATGTATCAAATTGTAAGCATCATACGGTATATAGCGATATGTATCGTATCATGAGTTATGTGTATCACTGCAGCTCTGGTTCATGATAACCTTGTATGCATGATATCTCATGAACCTATGATTTAAATCATATTTACATCATAGCATCAGCACATCATGGTCTACACATTTTTGATTTTGATGACCTTCAGTCAAGGATGAATGTCAAAGGTACTGACCATTCTCAGAAAAATGAGAAAAAATTGTGTACCAGATATTTCATGAACCACTCGACAGATGCAGATCGGTGGATATAGATAGATGTTAGGAGTATGTCTAAGTGAGCTAATTTTGGTTTTATTTTTCATCATTTTTGTATGTTTTACACTACAGGCAGTAAAGAGATCACACAGAAGACTAGGGCTGGCTAAAAAATTGATGGACCAGGCTTCTCGAGCAATGGTGGAGTGTTTTGATGCTCAGTATGTCTCGCTGCATGTAAGGAAAAGCAACAGAGCCGCCCTTCATCTATATACCAACACATTAGGTTTCTCGTGAGTAAAGTGATTCGTTTTTCTTTATAAACTTTAAAAAGGAAAAATTGATTTTTTTTCATATGGAGTTTTGTCAAATTATTGAAATACTGATCAAAGTCATTGTATGCATACGTTCTTAAATTTGATACTGAAGCAAAAAAAATGGCATTTTCAGGAAATTGTATTATTATAGCACTACTGTTTGCAATACATTAAACCAGCAATGCTTTCCTTGACTATCAGATCATCTGTTGCTGATTGTAATACCTTGATTTTAATTTGTTGTTTTAGAATTAGTGAAATAGAGCCCAAGTATTACGCAGACGGTGAAGATGCTTATGCTATGAGGAAAGACTTGTCTGAGATTAAGGAACAGGTGATTATAAATTTGTCGTGTTCCTGGCTGATTTGATCCATCCCGTTCTTTCTGGGGGAGTTTTGATAGTCACAGTGATAATATTAATACACAGCTTCTTTATATTCTCTACCTTAATGGGAAAAATTATAGACTTAAATGATTAATTATCAACAGGGAAAAAAACTGAAGACAGCATGATTGTAAATACTCTTCAATAAATGTGTGGTGACTTATAGTAACTGTTCATTCAGTCCCCTAAGACAGGGTACTATTTGTATAAATAGTTTGTATATATGGTTTCTATTCTGAAGGGAAAATACACTGATAAAGGGGAAATATTTCACTGGAATATCAATAAATACACATTAGGGGGGCATGATAGTAATTACTGCACAAAATTGAATACATGTATATTGATTAGGTCTCCCTTGTAGATTTTGCTCACTCACGATACAATAGGCATACAGGTTGTCTGTCAGATATTGTGACATCCTGGATGTTTAGACTTCAATGCTTTAACATCATGTCTTACAGACATCTCAATATCTCTTAAACATACATCTGAATTTTGCAAGTAGTTTTTGGGATGGCAGAATTGGTTTTAAAAAATCATGCTCTTATACTCCTTTACACATTTATACAAAAGTATTGTCCTTTGTAAACGTAACTTTGTCCTGAACATATTTTTAGTGTTTTATCACCCCTAAATGCCCTTCCTTGTTTCATTTGCACATACTTCAGTGTCATAGGTCCAAGATGCCTGTATGCAAATAGAAATTGAGTTATGTCCCTTAGTCCACTTTGGGTCACTAAATTACATTGCTAATGTCCTTTATTAAGTTCTGAAACCAATATACATATATATTGTTTATGGTAATCTTGTCTTGTTTCACATGATTGAGAGAAGAGTTAATCAACATTTCATTAGACTATGCAATAGTTAATGCAAAATAGGACATGTTTTGCTTTCTTGGTCCACCTTTATCAGATGGTCGGCTATACAAATTGGCATATATCTCTGGTCCATTGGTTATCCGTCTGTTGGAAGACAATTCTTACTATCAAAAATTCTTGAGAAGAACTAGATGGATCTTTCTGTTATGCCTTTTTGAATTTAGGACCAATCACATTTCTATTTCTTGAGAAGTACCATATGGCTGTTCTCTTTCTTAATGTAAGCCATCCTTTGAATGATAACAAAAACAAAACGCCAGACAAGCAGCCATTTTGGATTTGACCATGAATGAAGTGGATGAATCTCTTCAATTTCACATGCAGGATCCCCTTGTGCTTTGGTTGTGCCTTTAGATCATTTGACTAATCAGAAAAACAAAATGGCGTGACAGGCAGCTGTATTAGATTTTCATGATTAAAGTTTGTTATTGCTATTTCTTGAGAACTATTTATAACATTATAACATCAACAATGGTGGATGCTAAGATTCTGTGAGAGCTCTTGTGTTGTAGGTTCTCTGGTTTGATCAAAGTGTTATTAGTTAAATACCTTGCCAATTCATACTGAATGTGTAGGTAGAATTCCTGACATTTATTTTATTTTTTCTTTCTAGCATGGACTGCGACAGTTACAGCCAGAATGCATAACAGCGTCCTGAGGATTTAGTTTTGTGTTTTAAAAATATTGGTGATATGTTATTGTCAAGATCAACAGAGGATAATGCTACAAAACTAGTTAAAATTGTGTTTAAATCCCAGAAGTGAGGAAAGCGTAGGAAGGTGTGGTCAGAAAGTTAAGGGTGTAAACATGATAGCACGAAATATATGGCAATAACAAAAACAAGAGAGTGAGAGAGAGAGAGAGAAATGAGTTACAAAGCAAGAAAGGTAAATTACATGACAGATTAAAAGTTACACTATGCATATGATGTATTGAACAAATAACAGTGGTTACACATCATTTTGAAAGTGGTTATATTATAAACAGAACATGAAGAGAACGAAAATATGTTTTGTAGTGTAACATGATGTATTGTTGAAGTTATAATTAAAATATGAAAACAGAGTGCTTTCTCTTGAATGAATGAACTTCTCTCCAACATTTTTTGAAAAATTCCTGTCATTGACAATTTTTTCCTTGTTTTCTCAAACCACGATTTCAACTTTTATTGGAAAAACAATGTGTTGCATCTCATTTCAAAATTGGTTTTCTTACACTTGTATTTTGAAATGGATAAAGATTGAATAGATAATACATATATAGGCAACCTTGTGGGCCTACTGAGGTAGCATAACTAATTGTAAAGTGTCTGAAGATTTGATATGAAAGTACTTGTGATTCTACTAATGCGAAGTATTTCATGTTTTGTCATTTTTCTATATTTGTAACAAACACTGCAAATTTTAACTTATATATGTTTATAAACTTGAATTATATTAAATTCTCATTGTCCAGTAACTAGAATAAAGGTAGATAAAAAAACAGGAGCTGTGAAATACAAACACTTTCATTTTACTTTCATTTTCGTCTTCAGATGTCTTATATACAGACAATTATGACATCATCAATAATGTTACACCAAGTCTCTTACTGATGTCATGATGATACGGGAGATAATTACTACTGTGCTATATTCTAAGTAAGACTGAAGTAAGGATAAAATGTTTTTATGAAATATTTTTTCTTCTCCTTCCTTTCAGTGTGATTGTTAAGACTTTATAAAATAGAAATATGTAAATGTAAAAGTTCTTCTTTCCACTCAAGTCTGATTAGATGATGCCGAAGCACATCATATGCTGTTTGTGTACCTGAACTCGAGTTTGTAGTGTGTATGCTGTTTGTGTCCCCTGTTGCCAGGAATTTACATAGGCAAAACCAGTAACATGCTCCAAGCTTGAGTCCAGGTACTCAAATTCAGCATGATTTTTTAGCTGATAAATTTTTATAAATTATGTTGAATGAGTTGAGGAAATTTGAAGAATACTCGCCAGTGCAGTGAAATCAGACATGGTTTTTGTTCTTATTTATAATTTATAAGTAAAATCTACAGATAACAAAAATGTAGATAAAATCTGACATTGTATAATGTGCTTATGATCTTTATGAATTAAAGGAGAATATACCTTGTTTTCTGTTGTGTGTTTCTGTGACTAGGATATTGAATTAATGGTTTTGTATTGAGAGACCTACAGTACTGGTGTCAGAAGGCTGTGTAAGTGAAGGACCAGCCTAGTCCCAACCAGAGACCAAGAGGTACTGGTGTCCGAAGGGTGTGTAAGTGACAAACCAGCCTACTCCCAACCAGAGGACTAGAGGTACTGGTGTCAGAAGGCTGTGTAAGTAAAGGACCAACCTACTACCATCCAGAGGACTAGAGGTACTGGTGTCAGAAGGCTGAGTAAGTGACAAACCAGCCTAGGCCCATCCAGAGGACTAGAGGTACTGGTGTTAGGATGCTGTGTAAGTGAAGGACCAGCCTAGTCCCAACCAGAGGAAAGACTAGAGGTACTGGTGTCAGAAGGCTGTGTAAGTGACAGACCAGCCTAGTCCCATCCAGAGGACAGACTAGAGGTACTGGTGTCAGAGGGCTGTGTGAGTGACGGACCAGTCTACTCCCAACCAATGGACTAGAGGTACTGGTGTCAGAAGGCTGTTTAAGTGACGGACCAGTCTACTCCCAACCGGAGGACTAGAGGTACTGGTGTCAGAAGGCTGTTTAAGTGACAAACCAGCCTAGGCCCATCCAGAGGACTAGAGGTACTGGTGTTAGGATGCTGTGTAAGTGAAGGACCAGTCTACTCCCAACCTGAGGACTAGAGGTACTGGTGTTAGGATGCTGTGTAAGTGAAAGACCAGTCTACTCCCAACCGGAGGACTAGAGGTACTGGTGTCAGAAGGCTGTGTAAGTAAAGGACCAACCTACTACCATCCAGAGGACTAGAGGTACTGGTGTCAGAAGGCTGTTTAAGTGACAAACCAGCCTACTCCCAACCAGAGGACTAGAGGTACTGGTGTCAGAAGGCCGTGTGAGTGACGGACCAGTCTTCTCCCAACCAGAGGACTAGAGGTACTGGTGTCAGAAGGCTATGTAAGTGAAGGACCAGCCTAGTCCCAACCAGAGGAAAAACTAGAGGTACTGGTGTCAGAAGGCTGTTTAAGTGACAAACCAGCCTAGGCCCATCCAGAGGACTAGAGGTACTGGTGTTAGGATGCTGTGTAAGTGAAGGACCAGTCTACTCCCAACCTGAGGACTAGAGGTACTGGTGTTAGGATGCTGTGTAAGTGAAAGACCAGTCTACTCCCAACCGGAGGACTAGAGGTACTGGTGTCAGAAGGCTGTGTAAGTAAAGGACCAACCTACTACCATCCAGAGGACTAGAGGTACTGGTATTAGGATGCTGTGTAAGTGACAGACCAGCATACTCCCATCCAGAGGACAGACTAGAGGTACTTGTGTCAGAAGGCTGGGTAAGTGACATACCAGCCCAATCCCAACCAGAGGACAGACTAGAGGTACTGGTGTTTAAAGGCTATGTAAGTGAATGACCAGTCTAGTCCCATCCAGAGGACAGACTAGAGGTACTGGTGTTTAAAGGCTATGTAAGTGAAGGACCAGTCTAGTCCCATCCAGAGGACAGACTAGAGGTACTGGTGTCAGAAGGCTGTGTAAGTGAAGGACCAGCCTAGTCCCATCCAGAGGACAGACTAGAGGTACTGGTGTCAGAAGGCTGTATAAGTGACATACCAGCCCAATCCCAACCTGAGGACCAGAGGTACTGGTGTTAGGATGCTGTGTAAGTAAAGGACCAACCTACTACCATCCAGAGGACTAGAGGTACTGGTGGCAGAAGGCTGTGTAAGTGACAAACCAGCCTAGTCCCAACCAGAGGACAGACTAGAGGTACTGGTGTCAGAAGGGTGTGTAAGTGACAGACCAGCCTAGTCCCAACCAGAGGAAAGACTAGAGGTACTGGTGTCAGAAGGGTGTGTTAGTGAAGGACCAGCCTAGTCCCAACCAGAGGTCAAGAGGTACTGGTGTCAGAAGGGTGTGTTAGTGAAGGACCAGCCTAGTCCCAACCAGAGGTCAAGAGGTACTGGTGTCAGAAGGGTGTGTTAGTGAAGGACCAGCCTAGTCCCAACCAGAGGTCAAGAGGTACTGGTGTCAGAAGGGTGTGTTAGTGAAGGACCAGCCTAGTCCCAACCAGAGGTCAAGAGGTACTGGTGTCAGAAGGCTGTGTTAGTGAAGGACCAGTCTACTCCCAACCAGAGGACTAGAGGTACTGGTGTTAGAAGGCTGTGTAAGTGAAGGACCAGGCCACTCCCACCCAAAGGACCAGAGGTACTTGTGTCAGTCTATGACTCAAGACTGATATAATAAAGTTGATAGATTGTGAGAATAATTCGGACTAACCCAATGTGTGTAGCCAGGTATGGGTCTTTAGCACAACATAATGATTCTTACTACTACCGGGAATTGTGATGAAATTTGATTTTGTGTCATTTTGTACAAAGTCAACAATTTAGGTTTCTTCGAGTGTATGTGGAATGTATTGACTGCTATGTTGATGTAAGCTTTGAAGCCGTTCTAAATGTCTTCATTCTGCTTTTAACTTGTGGATCTCCCAAACTATTAAGATTCTTATCGATATTTTTCATCTACAAAGTATGAAAAGTTAAAAAGCATAGCACATATTTTTAAGAATGAAAAGAGAACCAGTCACAATCTACTGCAGTGTTACATACTTTTATTGCAGATTTTAAACAAAATGATCCAGCACATTTAAAAGGTGATTAACAAATTGTCTTAAATGATAATTTCATTATCTGTTTGGAAAGATGATAATAATGCTATTGGTTATCAACTGAATGATAATATCAAAGCTGTGGATGACCACATGTATGTATATGGTGGTACAAACAAGTCCAGGGATGTGATGATGGCTTAGCACCAAAGACAAGGATTACCTCCCCTGTCAGGATGGTCTCCCTTGTTACATTGAGATGCTAGATATTAAATCAATAAGTGAGCTATGCAAAACAAATAGCATCAAATTGTCTTTAAAATGTGTTACAGCTGTTATCAAAAAAATCATAAAACATGGATACTTGAACAATTTAATCATCCACAGGGAAAACATGATTGTTCTTCCACTTAAATAATAAATAAAATGGACTAGCATACTATACTGAATCCTAGCATGGTTATTAGAATACGTTAGAATAAAGTTATATACAAAGAGTGAGGTATTACTAGCAAATATTTTGATGTGAACAGATTCTGTGAACACAATTATATTGATGTATATTAATATTCTTCACTGGCATAAAAAATTGAAAGAAAATTGGTAGAATGGCAGATCCCCATCAGTTTTTAGATAAATACTGAAATATCTTGTCTTAGACATTAGATATGAACTGGAGTGAAATATCACAGCACTTACAAAACATCTTTAACATAATCAGTTACAAAAGGAAAAGCATTTTGTTTCATTAATTTCCCAATACTAATTTGTTTTTCTCAAATCTTAATTTATTTTACTTTGTTTAATATATAATAGTGCTTTCAAATCATAAATCTGAATAAAAAATATCTTTTAGTTCAATTCAGTAGTGCAAGTGAATGGTTTTAAAACCTGTCAATTTTTATTCAGTAAAAATAAAAATGATTTTCAAATGCTGTTGTTGTCTTTAAAAGTGAAATAAAAATAAATAATTTTAAAAGTATAAAAGCATTAGAATAAGACTGGAATCCTTCATTGAAAGGTCACGACTTATTGAAAGATGACCGATTTTGTAATTCAGCACAAACAGAATGGCCGACCAATGTACATGTCACAAACATTCACATCCATATACTAAGTGTCTTTACACAAACTTCTTAGATTTATACAACCCTTCAAACAATAATTCAAGCATTCGAGATTTTCCATCCTTATATGGGTTAGTTAATAGATATACAAATATATATATATTTATAATTGTTTACCAATAATATCAGTAATACAATAACACATTTTGTATTTCCATACAATTTGGAATGAAGTTCCATTCAATTCAATGTCTTAGAATCTTATTTCCTGTAACAAATACTCTTTAATTAAATGGCATTACACTCTACCATTTTCAAAAAAAAAAATTTCATTAACAAATTATACAAATATAATGTATCTTATTTTTCAGGACGTGATGAAAAGTTTGAGACAACAAGATAGGTTTTAATTAATGTACTTTGGTCCTAAAGACCGAAATACAGCCTCTGAAGCCGCTACAGACCAGCTTGGGCTTCTCTGGTTCTATGTCCATTTGTCAAAATCAAGTGACTGAATTTTTTCCAGTGTTCCTTCACCAATATTCTGTTCACATAGTGAGAAAATTGTCAAGAGTTCCAACATCCAATGTGGAAGGTGCTTCCTTTATTACAAAATTCCTCATCATGGAGTTTATCCTCCAAATGCCCCTACTGGGTCTGTCTTGGCTGACCTTGACCTTGGCAATGAGGAAGGAAGTTCGTTCTTTGGTATGGTAGATACAGGAGGCTGTTGCTATGGCGTTCCTGTCAGCACTGAAATGGCAAGAGAATATGGGTGAAATGAAGTCAGGAGATGTTAGTACATATATCACTAAGGCACGGTTTTTCTACCTTACTAGCACTGTGTTAAACATGGAGCATTCTCTCGACAAGCCTCCTCTGTATATCCTATTACCTTGTCCTGAATCTTAAAAACTTGGAAAGAATAAGCTATTACTAACATAGTTCAATAAATATTATGTAGAATTTGTCTGTTTCTAACTTAAAAAACAGTTGAAAGAGCAGTAGAAAAATGATTTCTTGTTGGGTGAATAATCCATGTTTTACTACAAGCCATGTAACAACAGCTGTTTTACAAAAGACTAGCACTGCCATGAATGCCAGAACACTGAAGCATCATGTTAAGGGTATGTGATTCAATGTCAGTCTCTATCATCACAGGTATAATGTCAAAACATGCCTTACACTGAAGAACAGAAAGGATAGTGCTGTATCTACACCAGCTATGATCTGCCTCACACAGTACAACAAAGTGGACGATTGCATATATATAATGTTTAATCATGTAAGCAGGTACATTGCATGTATTTTATTTATATCTAATATTCTACCAACACTTTCAAACTTGTTCCCATTCAAATGTAAGTCACAAATACACAGCCTGTTTCAAACTAAAATGAGAGCATGATTGAATTTTATCCACTAATTGTGATAACAGATTATTCATATATTTGTGAAGATACAGATAAAGAGTAAATTTCAGGAAAAATAATATTTAAAGTACTATAAATGTGTGTACTGTAAAGTCCTAGATTTTCCTGATTTTTGTTGATTTCGTGGGTACTCATAATCACCAAATTTAAAAGTCCATCATCTGTTAAAATTGGTAGATCAACTGAGCTACGAAATCAAGTGTCGACAGTAATACCACGTAATATATGATTTTACAATACACTGGACTGGTATTCCTAACTAGGCCTTGGTTAGTAAGTGTACATGTATCAAATACACAGAAAAGTCCCTATTTAACAAAAATGATAAAAAAAAAAAACATTCTCTATTTAAAATGATAATCTGGATATATAATTTGATTTTATAGTAGAAACCATGCCTATACATGCTTTAGTAAACACTTTGATGCAAGAGATATTAGTGTATTGACTAGTCAGTATACATATTGTACAAGGAAACACATTAATGTTTATCAACAACGAACTTGACAACAATTCATTATCAAATCCATAGCTATGACAGATTTAAATCCAACGATTCCCAATATAAACAGCTATTTCTGTAACTGTATTATAATTGCAGTAAATTGACCATGATATATAGCTGTTCTACTCTTTGAAAGAATTGTATAATAAAATATACAATCATCAATGTTTAACATAACCATGCAACATGCTACATGAACTGATGATATTTGCAGAAACTGGTTATGCATGCTGATATCAAATTAGTACAGCCATATCAAATGATGCTAATAAAAACACAATGAACAAAAATACTATCTACGGAGATATAGGCAAGCTTTCATGAAAGGGAACTAACATAGGTTGCCTGGATCCTGATCTGTCAAATTTCATTGACGTAACCCCTGACCTGTTTGTCATGTCTTGGTTCAGAGGTAGAAACCCTTAACTGTTTGTCCTGTGTTTGTTCAGGACAACTATTCCTACTATGGTTTAGAGGCAGAAACCCATACCCTATATGTCAAGTCTAAATTCAGAGACAGAATTAAGTCACTCTGTAGGTCCTTCCCTGGTTTTGAGACAAAGCCATAAATCCTGTGTGTCATATCTCAGTCCAGAGACAGACCAAACCCTGCCCTGTGTGTCATGTCTTGGTTCAGTGACAAACCTCTACCCTGTGTGCCATGTCTTGGTTAAGAGATAAACCCTTTTCCTCGTGTCATGTCTTGGTTCAGAAAAAGAAACCTCTTCCATGTATGTCATAGCTTTGTTAAGAGAGAAACCCCTTTTCTTTATGCCATAGCTTTATTAAGAGAGAAACCCCTTTTCTGTATGTCATAGGTTTGCTAAGAGACAGATCATCTTACTATGTTGGTCCAGAGTTTATGAATAAGAAACTAGATATGTCCTGTCTGGGTTTTCAGAGCTTGACCTGATTCTGTAACATCAGCCAGGCCGTCACTTGTATATAATGGATCTACAACTGCTCATTCATTATGCATCGCATTGATTTCCAATCTGAATATGGAAGGAGTTGCTGTTCAACCAAAGCATTGATTTCTTGCTAGGAATGATTCAGAATGTGTAAATCAGTTTGAATGACATCAGTGTGCATCTAAATTTTCAATTCAGAATCTTACATTCAGCATGCTATAGCATGCTTGATCAAATTATATCCAAAGGCATTTTCTCATGCATAAACAGACCAAAATACTTCTACGATAAAACAGTGTTGTGATCAGTGGATCAAGGATTGATAGTGATTCAGTTGACAGTGACCTAGGTGACACATGACTGACAATTACCAAGATGCTGAAATGACTGAGGACCTATGATTGACATTGACCCAGCAGACCTATGATTGGCATTGACTCAGCTGACCTATGATTGACATTGACCCAGTAGACCTATGATTGACATTGACTCAGCAGACATATGATTGACATTGAGCCAGCAGACCTATGATTGACATTGACTCAGCAGACCTATGATTGACATTGAGCCAGTAGACCTATGATTGACATTGACTCAGCAAACCTATGATTGACATTGACCCAGCAGACCTATGATTGACATTGACTCAGCAGACCTATGATTGACATTGACCCAGCAGACCTATGATTGACATTGACTCAGCTGACCTATGATTGACATTGACTCAGCAGACCTATGATTGACATTGAGCCAGCAGACCTATGATTGACATTGACCCAGTAGACCTATGATTGACATTGACCCAGCAGACCTATGATTGACATTGACTCAGCTGACCTATGATTGACCTATGATTGACATTGACTCAGCAGACCTATGATTGACATTGACCCAGCAGACCTATGATTGACATTGACTCAGCAGACCTATGATTGACATTGACCCAGCAGACCTATGATTGACATTGACTCAGCAGACCTATGATTGACATTGACCCAGCAGACCTATGATTGACATTGACTCAGCTGACCTATGATTGACATTGACTCAGCAGACCTCTGATTGACATTGAGCCAGCAGACCTATGATTGACCTATGATTGACATTGAGCCAGCAGACCTATGATTGACATTGACTCAGCAGACCTATGATTGACATTGACCCAGCAGACCTATGATTGACATTGACTCAGCAGACCTATGATTGACATTGACCCAGCAGACCTATGATTGACATTGACCCAGCAGACCTATGATTGACATTGACCCAGTAGACCTATGATTGACATTGAATCAGCAGACCTATGATTGACATTGACCCAGCAGACCTATGATTGACATTGACTCAGCTGACCTATGATTGACATTGACCCAGCAGACCTTTGATTGACATTGACCCAGCAGACCTATGATTGACATTGACCCAGTAGACCTATGATTGACATTGACTCAGCTGACCTATGATTGACATTGACCCAGCAGACCTATGATTGACATTGAGCCAGCAGACCTATGATTGACATTGACCCAGTAGACCTATGATTGACAATGACACAGCAGACCTATGATTAACATTATGACTCAAGATGACTCAAGGTCCAATTATTGACATTGACTCACAGTGCCTATAATGACAGTCAATGACTCAGGAGATTAACATTTGACAATGAGTCGGGGACAAATGATTGACAATTACTAAGAGGAGGATGAATGATTGACATGCATGAGGGTTTTTATGAACAACAAACATGACTTTGGCACCTTCAGCATCAGACTCACCTTACAGGTGGTATACATGTTACAACAAAACTGTTACATAGCAACTAAGAAAATGTTGTGTTGGACCCGAGCATGTACCACTATCAATACTCTGGATTAAATTTTCTTTAGTTGAAATTCTTCTTGTGGAATGTACTATTTACTGTCAGGTTGTCAGTAAGAGCAGTATTCTTATTATCACTGAGTCATCTATATATATATATACAGTGGTAGTTGGCCCAGCTAATGTATTATACTGAGTTAGTCACCCAAGCCCCTAGCATATGATTCAGAATTTACGCTACAGTGTCTGTGATCATTTCAGAAATACTACATTTTTCATGATAAGACACATATGTGCAGGCTTAATAAAGCCCTAAAATGCCACACTTTCAGTAGACAGGATGACTTCTCTCTTTCTTTGTAACATACATGGCAAACAGACTTTGAAATTGCTGTTGAACCACATATCGTACAATATGACTTGTACCGACAGTGAAGGTGACCTTATAAATTTACAGGATCTCTCAAGGCTGAAACACTATCTCTTAACTTTGTAACCTTGGTAACTGATATACTCCCCTGATGCTAGCTCAAGTGGTCATACTGTTTTACCATAGTGATCAGAAACACAGCTGTCCCAAGTAAAAAAATTACAAAAACAAAACATCAGAAATGAAAGGCACGCCAGGAGACTGTCATGATAAAATGTACATCAGGTTTTCTGGGTTCCCCCCAGCCCCCTTCAGTGGCCATCAAAGTTAGCCAACAGGAGCTGCCTGGCATTAACTCTCTCCTGATCAATAGTTGTGATAAGCAGCAAGCCAAGTAGTTCTGAGTGCTGTTCAGCTTGCTGTTGAGGCTGGTCTCAAACTTAGGGGTCATCTCAAAAGGCTATATGGACCTGTGGAGATGCACATATGTACATAATCCATTCTTGTCCTATGAGCTTCTTTGTTGAAACTTATTCATCGCAGAATAATACAAGTGTCTATTTACCCATTATTAGATGATGCTCTTTAATTTGTAGAATATTATTTACCCCATAAGTAAGCTTCCATGTAAATGACACCATGATACTATTTATAGAATATTGTTTGCCCCATAAGTAAGCTACCATGCATATGACACCATGATACTATTTATA